ATCTTCGGAGTATAGTCGAGTCATTGGACCGTCATCCCGGCCCCGGGGGTGATTCCACTCTCGAGGTATCGAGGCTGTGACAAAGAGCCCCTGTACCACTTCCAATGTTGTACTCGTATTTTCTTGGCTTCACTGGAAGGTGACAGCTTGGATTGCCAAGTAATGTGTTGCTACCGTTGCACAGCCCAATTTTCCTTTATTGTAATCTATCTAGCCTGTGATATATCTATTCAAACCAAAAGCTACATTGGATATAATGATATTATGAAATAAAAGTCACAGATTGTGATATGGTCAAACAGAGCTCTAGTACTGTACATGACAATATGCCCACAGAATGGTCCCGAGATACAGATATGCTAGATCAAGCTTCAGGTGACTTTCATCGCACCAATTGAAGACCGAAGCGCACCTTTTTCTTCTCAAATTTATCTAGTTCGAACAGGAGAATCCATTCGGATTTTCTGGGCGAATTTTGTAATGACGACAGTAGCATGAATAAATACACGATCTCCCTCTTCTAGACTTTCGCTCTTACACTTGAACTAAGTAGGTATGGTACTAGTCAGTTTGCTAGAAATAACCGGGCAGACGTTATTTATGATATACTCCTCAGAGTACGCTCTGTGCGCTAATTCGTGGACGAAATAATTGGCCCCCATATTGCAGTCCTAGTAACGGCAGACTTTGCTGGATGTCAAAATTGGTCATGACACTAGCTTCGTGTAGGATTCCAGGAGCATGATTTAACTGGGAGATCTTCGCTTCCTAGCTATTTCTTTCAAGGTATGAATCATATCGAACACAACCGAGAAGTGGTCTAGCAATCCACTACGGAGTAGAGACCACTAGTTCAAGGACCCTACAGATCTAGGTGAGTGGAGCATCAACTTACCCTGCATGACTTTCTCGTCCATTGTCGCTGTATTAAAAGCTGAAATGGTTGACCTCAGCATTGTAAACTAGGAGACCAAGCTGGCAAGTTACGTGTGAATATCACGCCTGAACTATAGCTATTGAGATACAGCTAGACCCACTCGGTATTTGCACGACTTTTGTCAGTGAAATTCGCTTCGACTTCACTGTCAGTCCAAAGAGCAGCGAGAGGCCGCCTTGCTCAAAGCCTCATCGCTGATGGTGATGATCAGATGAGTCGTCTCAAACCCTAGGTCTTTGTTATCGCTGCTCACGATCACTGTTCTTTCGGCAAGAGGGGTGCCACCAGGAACGAAAGGAACCAGATCACCCATGGTGAAGAAATCAGGTGAGGGTCTTAAAATCAAGCTAGTAGCGTTGTGTATATCTGAAACTATCGTGGCATAAGTGGAATAACAAGGTAGTAAATGAAGCACAAAATGCGTTCATCAAGCGATACTCACCGCAAGAACTTTGAGTTTCTTAGAGCTTTTCCTAGAGCCATTGGTAATTCGGGCTACTTCGACATTATTACAGTAACTGCAGGTAGAGAGGCCACCAGACTAGGTAGTCTGGTATACCGCAAGAGGTTGCTTGGTCGTACAGGAGCCTAGGTGCACACCTGAATAGAACTTGCACTTAGGCAATTCTTCATGGCCAAAGAAACAAGTTGTAAGCATCGAGACATAATAGGACCCACAGTTATCGGACTATTCTTTCTCCCGTTGTTGTGGTTCAATTCGTCACCCGGCAGATCCCCCTTACATCGATCGCGTACATCGATCGGCGGCTTTATGTCGACCAAGGTCTGGACCAGCCTCTCGTGCTACTCCTGCGCTCAAGCAGAGTGCCCATTAAGTGAAAAGTACGGATATCAAAAGTTAGCCAAAGTTGATCGTTAAGTCATATCATTCACAAGGTCATATCATTCATAAGGCCGCTAGAGTCAATGGGGAGATGGCTGCCCAATGGTAGGCAGCCCTGGCCCAAAGATTGGAATCATGACTATTGACGAGTAATAGTACCTACGAGGACTCCGTACGGAGTATGACTTAATATCCTGCAGAGGAAACCTTCAATATGAGATCACATCTCTTATAATAACCGGTGTACGGAGTACATACGGAGTACGGAGTATTTAAATGCGAGAGGCTGGGGGTTGTGGGTCTTACTATACGTGTGTACCCTGCCACCTATTAATTTTGCTTGGGCCTTGCCGCTTTTTCTTGGTTTTTCAGGTAAACTGGTTTCATCGAATGAATAACTATGTACGAAGTACTCCGTACGTATTCCAAGGTTCTCGATCGAAGATACCTAATCGAATGTGTTCTGTGCCACGCACTATCTAGAATAGCTATTGTACATGCACATGCACCCTCAAACTGAGAATGCACATTGATATCTCGACTGCACATCCGTTGAGTGTACGAGGGACTACATGGAATGACTCCATGTACAAAAAGTAGACTCCATGGAACAACGTGGCGTAGCTCTCTCCGTAGCTGCCCAGGTGGTCCACTACTGGTCCACCTGTGGGCACAATCTCGATCCAGCACGGGATGTGATTGGACGAATGACAGCCGGGGACCCACGGATCGACCAGAAAACCTTGGAAAGAAGCCACGGAAAACGGAGGAGGCTGGCACCTTCCCAAGATGTTTAAGACCGTTTGTGTACTCCCCTGACTTACTTGAAATTTCCTCGTTCTTCTTTCCTCACCTGTTACCCTTTCGTATCAACACTCATCTTCAATATTGCATAATAGTTGATTACTTATAACTTACTCTACTTGGCCCACCATGCGATTCTTTCTTGGTGCGGCCCTGAGCCTGCTATCTTCCACGCTAGTTGTGGCCCAGACTTACACCGATTGCAATCCGACAAAGAAGTGTAAGGCTCATAACTACCGTTGTGTCGACAGGTTACTAACATTTAGCAGCATGTCCCGCTGATACTGCATTTGGCCAATCTGACAAGACATTTGATTTCACAAGTGGCGCATCTGATGGTTTCAAGTCGACTGGATCCGTCACATATGACCAAACGAACGGTGCAACCTTCACTATTGCTAAGCAGGGTGATGGCCCGCTGATTCAGTCCGGCTGGTACATCATGTTCGGCCGCGTGGAATGCACCATCAAGGCAGCGCCAGGGACGGGAATCGTGAGCAGTGCAGTCATGCAGTCCGACGATTTGGATGAAATTGACTGGGAGTGGCTGGGTGGAAACAACGCCCAAGTGCAGACCAATTACTTCGGCAAAGGAGACACAAGTTCATTCAGCCGTGGCGCCTTCCATGACAATTCCGGAAACCATGACGACTTCCACACTTTCTCCATTGACTGGACCAGCAGCCAGATTGTGTGGGCAATTGATGGCAAGACTGTTCGTGTTCTCACTCCCGAGACAGCAGAAACCAACCAGTACCCACAGAGCCCGATGATGGTCAAGGTCGGTGTGTGGGCTGGCGGTGATCCGAGTAACCCCAAGGGCACTATTGGTGAGTGGCATTGTTCTAAAAACTACCCATATCGTTCTTGCTAACAGCCTGTGTTTGTGCAGACTGGGCTGGTGGTCAAACAGACTATAGCCAGGGCCCGTTCAAGATGTATTTGAAGTCAATGACCGTAACTGATTACTCCACCGGAACTTCGTACAGATATGGTGACACAAGTGGCTCATGGCAGTCAATCGTCGCGGAAGGAGGCCAAGTCAATGGCAACAAAGCCGCCGAGCCCAAATCGACCGAGTCCGCACCCACAATTACTGCAACCATCGACAGCGTCCCAGTTCCCTGGAGTGGAACCCACAAAGAAACCTCAAGCTGGGTCACCCCAAATGTCTGGCCCTGGGTGGCGACCGGCTCTCCTACGACCTCGTCGACAGGATACCAGTATAGCTGGGAGTCCAGCTCTGGCCAAAACCAGCCACCAGGCGGAGGCTCAATGAGTGAGCTACCCCCCGAATCCCTTTTTTCTTAGATTCGTTAGTTAATATCGAGTCTTTTCCCACACAGTCTACCTTCCGCTTTATGTCAGCAGCATTGCCTTTTTCTTCGGCTGCCTTTTCCCCCTCTGGCGGTGAGATTTTGCGAGAACGTCGACTCGATTGATGATCAGAACTACATGTTCGACTAAACCCACTACTATCATTACTTTTACCAACACACCCATTCGAGAGGCTAAAGAGTCGGCTTTCGATCCTCATACTGCTTCATCGGTGGGCAGTGCGAATAGCCAGTTCCTGCAATGGCAGGTGTCTTGTGTGCACTCTTTGGGCGTGTTATTGCATTGGGTTGAACGCATCCGCGTTTGTATTATTATTGACGACTTCATCGGACCCGGCGTTGGATTAAATTTTTATTGGACATGATACATGAGCGATGACTTCAACGGCTCACGAAACAGCCGCGGCGCTTAGAGGCACCTTCTATTCTTGTTTACAGTTTACCTTTATTATTCATAGACGCCAAATGACAATATCCAATTGATGGGACACCTGTGCCCTACATACATAATGAGTCTTGGTGTATTCATACCTTATTGGAATACCGATAGTCTGGTTTTTATTCAAAAGCCCTCATTTTTGTATATAATTTATAGCAAGATCTTGCGGTCAGAATAGGCTTTTTGAGGCTTCCGTACCAAAATAGCAATAGCTCTCTAGGTTTGGTGTACTCTATGTTGACAGGATCGTGACGATGAGGGATTAAGCAGAAAATTAAATTACAAACACCGATCTACATCATGAGGTAGCCCTGGAGACAGTTGTAAGTATTTTAAATTAGCCTTGGAAGGCATAGACCATGGAATCTGGAATATCAAGCGAAGAAAAAGAAACTACTATACAAGAAGAGGAAGGGGACTGAAGTACCGCTTACTCCAGAACAGGAATCGGAGACAACTGTGATCCATGGCTCCTTTACGGAGAACCTTTTGAAGAAATTCTTGATGAGAAATCTCACTCTGACTATCGACTTCTTGTAGAATCTTACCATTCTCTCCACGTCTTCCTTTTCCAACAACCCTTCCAATACCATCAGATCCAGTACCACACCGACGTTCAGATGACGAAGGTGCCAACCAATGAACTAGTAAGTTAATACATTCATATCCATTTTGTACAAGATCACTTGCTAGCATTGAATTTAGAAACACCGAGATGCCTGACGCACCACCTCTTCCAGATCCAGTGAGTGATCTCTCGGAAGCGAAGCGGCAAATGGATTGCAACGCTCACTTCCAAAGCCGTCACTTCCTAACATGAGCCCTAAAAGCGGCTTCTTCGCTCCCCACCGAGCTTTGGCTATTCCAGAAATCGTGTGTGAAATCCTCCTTTGGGCCAACAAGAACTCTAAAATTTGGTGTCGCACACCTTGGCTACTGAACTGCGCCTTGGTGAATAAGACGTGGTGCTATGAAGCGCTACGTATCTTGTGGAGCGACATGGAAGCAGATGGGGAATCCCTCGACGAGGTCATGATGGACATCTCCCCCGATCGCCGCCAGATGTATTACAACTTTGTGAAGACTGCAACTGTGACAACCTATAGCCAGGAGACTGAATCAGCAATACGGCCAGCTCTGGAAAATTTGTTCTTCTCACAGTTACACACTTTGCGCCTTATTCCAGTCTTTCACGGCTCGCGCACCGAGAAGCGTATCCGCATCCCAACTTTGAGCATGCCAAACCTCGAGACCCTTTATGTCAACCGCTCCAATGGGCCGGTCTATCTGTGCCCGGATCAATGGGACTATTTCGCTTACCAGATTCCGGTTTGTTTCACTAGCTATTATCTGATGCACCGCATGACTAACCACTACCTCTACATATCTAGAAGCTCTTTCCGGGGTTGTTGAATGTTCGAATTGAGATACCAGTCGTCCTTTAAATTGCGGGGTTTGAGGCTTTATCTAAAAGCTTGCCGAAGTTGGAATCTTTCGAGTTTGAGAAAATCGTGTCTCTGTCCGACATAGAACATATTGTGGAGGATAGATTCACTGAGAACTGGGACGACGAGGATACAGACGAGGATACGGACAACGAGGATTTGGATAATGGATACGGATGATGAGGATTTCAGCAATCTGGTGTAGGACATGCTTCTTTTAGTCTAGAATCTCTTACTAATTGTTGTATTGTGTTTGTGCTGGATTTTACAGTACTATTGCTTGAACCCAGCTGGCCTTTTGGAACACACTTCGTCATCGTTTTGTTTTTGAGAGCTCTATGGATACAGAAGTGCAGATCTGCAGTCTTTAGGGAGGCCCTAGACAATAAGTTTCCCATCTATACAACATAGTATGAACTGAAGAATGGATAGTGGGTCCATTGCTAAATGATAAAAGTCGACCAACCAATAGAATTGGAACCTTGAAATTCTGCCACATCCATGGATCCATTGATCGCCTACCCGTGGACCCGTGGACATGTTATGTCATCCGCCTGCTGCAAAGACGGGTTGATTTTTCGATTATTCAACATCCCGACGCCTCGGCTAGTCGCCTAATCATCGCATCGCCTCTGCATTTGTCATGCTTCTTATGGATCTCAAGCGGGCTGCACATTTTCAGGACAACTCGTGACAGAGAAGACTGAGATCTCCTCACATATCTAATTTCGAAAAATGAGTGAAGAAACGGCTAAACCGAGTGGTCGCAAACGCGGTCGTCCTCGAACTGTGACCAACGAGCAAGAAGTGCCAGAGGTGGGTCAGATCCCAACGCTCCAAGTTCCTATACTTATCGTCATGAATTTCTAGAGACGTCGCAAACAACTCCGCCTCGCGCAGCAGGCATATCGCAAGAGAAAGGAGACCACAATCGGTAACCTACAGAATCGCGTACACGAATTAGAAACCGGCATCGAGAATATCAGCCAATCTTTCCTCTCCTTCAGTAGTCTTCTTATACAAGAACAACTCCTCTCACGATATCCGCATATTGCATCGGCTCTTCAAGACATAACTCAGCAATGCGTGTCGCTTGCGAAGGCTGGGAGCGATGATCCGACTGAAGGAGCCTTCCACCTCATTCAGGCCGCAAAAGAGTCACAAACCACAAATAATAATACAATCTCGACACCAGTTCTGGATAACGAATACTCAGAGACTTCAACAGATGCCGAGGATATAATACGATCAGCTGCTACAAAATGGCCCGGCCCTCCTACTCCGCCATATCAAGGTCACTCCATCTTGCCATTCGACCTCGTTATGTCATCATCCACTGTTCAATTTCCTGAAATCACTCCGCCATTATCATCAAACTCCTCAACACTAGATTTACTCTCTAGTAATATATCGCCTGACAGGCAGTGGAATATCGCACAACGTCTAGTCCGGACTTGCTGCCAGGGTGGATATCGCCTTCTTATCGACAATCCAAACAGTCCCGCAGTCCTCCGAGTCTTTGGGTCTGTTCCGAGTCTGTCAGCACGCAATCGTCTGATCTCAGGCTTTTACGATGTCATGCAGGATAAGACCGGTGTCTTGACAGATCCCAAGGCCAATGTGCTTCACGCCCTGCAGTCCAATATGGCCATATTTTCGAATGAGCAACTCCAGGTCCCGTCTAAGATATGGCAGATTGCGCTCGAGTCAACTACTGGTGCGTGGCTGGATGCCAGTGGAGTGCAAGGATACCTGCGTGACAAGAGAGTGCTCTTTGAGAACTTTCCTGATTCCTCCGGCCGTTTTGATTATACAGTCTCGTCATCACTTGATATAACGATGTTCATCAAATGTGAGTTCTCGGGAACGGAACCCTCTTGAAGAAGTCCACTAACGCCACTGTAGCCCTCTCAAAAGAAGCCATATGCGTTGGCAATGGACCAGTATTCCGACGCCAGAGCGTTGAAAAGGTTCTGCGTCTGGCAACGGTTAGTGTAGGCTGGGGTTTTGATAATCTTTGTGAATTATAGCGCAATATCTACCTGTAAATATATAATGCATACACGAACCACCGGGCATGTGACCCGGCAATTCAAACAATTGACTATAGCCCATTTGATTGTACTGGCAGCGACTGCCCCTGAAATAATGTTTCACCCGTCTATCCAATTTCCACGTTCATTTCAGGATACATTTTTGTTGAATTGGGATGAACTATAAAACGACTCATTTTTTTTTGTTAGGCAAAAAGCCGCATTGCTGCAACCCCCAAGATCTACTGTATAAGCGTGTCAATGCAAGTCAATGCAAACCAGTGTACAGATCTTATACACATCCTTATCTCGTATCTCAGCTTTGTAAGACACGCAAGCTACCTAGGTATTTTCTACTTGTACGCCCTTCGGCGGCATGTGGATCTCCGGGTAGCATCGCAAGAGGGGTTCATTGGCTCGGCGTGACTCACCTGTGTTTTTAATCTCGATATGTGAAGCAGTGGACAAAGCTATCATAGAGCCAACTTGAGTCATTGCGCCTCGGTTTTGTGTTTAAATTCACTTCTTCCCGCTGAAGTCGTGGTGTTCCGAACTTATCCCCACTACTCTTTCCAAGGTGTTTTTTTGCATTTCCCAACATCATGGCCGCGACAACCCAACCAACTCCCTTTGGCAAGCCGATGCTGAAGCACTGGATGTTTGATCCTGCCTATAAGAACTTGAACCATGGATCATTCGGTGCGCATCCGATTCCTGTTAAGGACGCACAGCGTGCCTTCATGGATCTCGCCGATGTGCGGCCAGATCCGTATATCCGCCGATACCACGCAGAGCATCTGGATGAAGCCCGTGGGGCTGTCGCAAAGCTCCTGAACGCTCAGAGGGAGGAGTGCGTATTTGTCAAAAATGCGACTACAGGCGTGGCGACGGTACTGTATAATTTGGCTTTCCAGCCGGGTGAGGCGCTCATTTACTTCGAGCCTGTCTACGGTGCTGTTGAGAAAGGTGTTGTCTCGCTACAGGAGCATAGCTCTTTGCAGTCCCGAAAAGTGTCTTTCCAATTTCCCATTACTGAAGATGAGCTGGAACGCCGTTTCCGCGAAGTGATTCGCCAGACTCGTGAAGAGGGACTCAAAGTCCGGGCCAGTGTCTTCGACGCCATTGTCAGTAATCCGGGTGTGCGATTCCCCTTTGAGCGTATTACTGCCATTTGTCGTGAAGAGGGTATTTTGAGCGTTATCGATGCTGCGCACGGCATTGGAAATATCCATCTTGATATGGAGAAGCTACAGGCTGACTTTTTCGTATCAAATTGTCACAAGTATGAACAATCCCCATTATCCTACCCTTCCCAATAAATTGAGTAACCTCTTGAATATTGACTTGGCTTCATAAAGATGGCTCTACACACCCCGCAGCTGTGCAGTCCTCTACGTCCCCCGACGTAACCAGCATCTATTGCGCACCACCATGCCAACATCTTGGGGATTCATCCCAGCTCCGGACTCCGCTGAGACTATTGCCTCAGTGTTGCAAGACCCTAACGCCCCGGTGACAAAGACTGCCTTCGAGCAACTTTTCGAGTTCGTCGCCACCAGTGATGACTCCGCTTACATCTGCGTCCCCGCAGCACTGAAGTTCCGCGCTGAAGTATGCGGAGGCGAGGATGCTATCATTGCCTACAACCAACGTGTTGCAAATGAAGGCGCAGACGCTGTTGCTGCTATTCTCGGTACTGAGGTCTTGCAAGAACCTGATCTGAAGCCTGGCGAGCAGAGCCGTATGCGCCAATGTTCCATGACTACAATCCGGCTGCCCATTGCTGTTGCTGCTGCCGGAAAGGAGACTGAATCTCTCAACCATACCCCTTTGGTTGTGTTGTCTGAGGAAGAAGCTCCTAAGGCATTTTCTTGGATTCAGACGCAGTTGCTGGACAAGCATAACACTTTCCTGCCGGTTTTCCGCCATGGTCCTTGGTTGTGGACTCGTCTGAGTGGCCAGACTTATTTGGAGACAAGTGATTTCGAAGCTATTGGGGTTGTTTTGCGTGACATCTGTGGACAGATTGCGAAGAAGGAATTCAAGGCTTGATCTGGTTGGCTATATCTAGCACTTGAGTTGCAATAATTGCAAATAATCACTCCATTTATGACCAGCTTCATATTAGGGCCAGAAGTAATTATTAGGTCAAAGCTATACAGAGTAAGTGTCCGGATACATGATTGAACTGCCATAGAAACAACCCTTCATAACAAACTCCACCCAAATCCATATTTCCCCAGAAATTCGATCTAAGAAGGGAACTGGGGTTAAAGATTCTAGCTCACTCGAAAACTTGATTTTTGGCGAGGACTACTGGTAAAATATGTTGCCTTTCTTCCGCCATATCACACCAGAAGCGGGGTGTGCATGTTCTTTATATACCACGATTAGTCCCAAAGGTCCTCTAAATTAATCTATTCGACACGTACTAAGTTATTATGTCTGTTGCAAAGGAATTCGAAGCAGCCAATGCCAATTACGTCGCATCCTTCACCAAGGGCGACTTGCAGCTACCCCCACAGCGGTGCGTTGATAGCCCTCGTTCTAGTTCCAACTTATACTACACAAGTGTCATGTAATAGATATATCTGACTCTATTTCTTTGAATTCAGAAAGGTAGCCGTGGTGGCCTGCATGGACGCTCGCCTTGGTCCGTATACTCTGCAGCACTTCTGATACGCCAGAATGATACTCACCCCTACTATGTCTCTATAGATCCCGCCCGCGCCCTCGGTCTTGAAGAAGGCGATGCCCATGTAATCCGCAATGCTGGCGGTAGAGCCTCAGATGCACTACGCAGCGTCATCATTTCGCAGCAGCTGCTGGGCACCCGCGAGATCGTTATCGTGCATCATGTACATAACCCCTGCAGATCATTGAGACTAGGCCTCAATCCTGGCTTAAATCTTGTCAACTTTTGAATCAGTTGCTGACTATCTTCAGACAAATTGTGGTATGCTCACTTTCACCGATGAGGGGATCAGAGACAAGATCCGTGTGGATTTACACCAGAACGCCGACCACATTGCGTTTTTACCCTTCGGGGATGTCGAGCAGAGTGTTCGGGATGATATCCAGATATTGAAGGATAGTGCTCTTGTCTTGGATGTTCCAATCACAGGCTATGTGTATGAAGTTGAGACTGGGAAGATTGTTCAGGTTAGAGAGAATCAGTAATTGTCGGTATCAACATTGCAGTATGGTGAGCTTCCATGCCGAGGTATATACTGCATAGCAATCTATGAATGTGACAAAATAGGTTTGCTACTAGAACCTAGGTGTATGCACGCATCAAATAAATTTTGGGTCATGTACGATTGGCAGGTATGTAGCATACCACCACCCTACTTACTGGTGGCTTAAAAAGAGAGAGATAGAGTAGAGACAAAGATAACGCCCTCGGATGCTCCGACAATAGAAAAGAAATCGCCAACGGCCAATGAATCAGACCCCACACGAAAAATATACATAGGTGGTTATACTCCAGACGGACAACTTTCGGCTGTCACGGCCTTTTCAGGCCACGCCCATCATCAACAGGTGTTTATCGTCTTCTGGCTCCCTTGATCACCAGACTACCAACCACACCCGCGACGAGAGCCAATCCGCCCACAATTGCGACACCCACAAGACCCTCCTTGGCGACCTTATCATCGATGAGTGACCCAAGGCTGGCAGCCTGGAGGTTTGCGGGTTCCTTCTCGAGGAGCAAATCGTTGTATCGGCGGGCTTCTCCATAATTGCCTAGCTTGAAGTTGCCGAGGGCCAGATAATAGAGACATTCGCGTCGCCGCTCTGGAGCTCCGCGGAAGATCTCTGAAAGCAGGCGAACGCCTTCTTGCTGTTCGGAACGGGTGTTGGATTTGATCAGACCCTGTAGTCAATATCACCCCCGCATAGGCGGGGAGTACCGGTTAGCGTGGGTACACCTGACGAAGACTAGATAAAAGATACCCATGCGTAGTTGAACTTCGTCTGGATCCCGACATAGTCGCCTTCTTTCTCGTATTGCGCTCTGAGGACCTGTAGCTCGGCGGGTTTCAAGGGACTGTGTCGGTGGTAGTCAAGTCAGTTCTTTTAATTCCGATATTTTCTTTCGCTGATTTATTCGCAGAAAACAAACCTTTCCGCATCAGCGGCATCTGGAGGGGAAAAGCAAGTCAGTTTCTAAGCATCAGGCATCGGTCGGAACACACCACACCACGTACATGGAAGGTTGGACATGGCGAGGTAGAGGCTTGGTGGATTTAGACGTAGCAATATTGATCAGAACGAGAATTCTAATAGTTCAATAACAGTTCGTCAAAGGTAAGAGTCGTGGCTGCGTTAGGCGAGAAGATAGAAGCGAGGACGGAGAAATCATAGGCACAACGTCACTTTGCGGAGGAGCAACATATGTGGCGGTGCAGTGGCTGTTGCTGCCGCAACAAACCCAAAACAACCGACTTTCCATCTTGACAATCTGTAACCACCGACACCATGTTGCTCGACGAGGACCCTGGAACTGTATGTGCTACTCTGTTTACTGTCGTAATTTAGGCTCAATGAGTTTACTGACGATTCCAGCTCATCCACCACACGATCGGCAACTTTAACATCCACCCCGATAAACAAGCCGTCACACGCATCAATGACTCGCTTGCAACCCTGCAGCAATCGCGCGACCTGCGCATTCGCGAGGCCGAGTCGGCCATGCGAAAACTATCACGTCACCTGAATTCCTTATCTACACAACATGAAGAAGCCGTAGCCGTGCACGACTCTGGCAAACACGCGGCGGAGATCGTGGAGTTGGATACCAAGAAGTTTCGCATTGCCAAGGCTGCGTCAGAACTAGAAATTGAAAGCGAGCGCTTGGAGAGTGAGCTAGAAATGCTCAAGGAAAGACTGGTCGACCTAGAGTCCCAGGGTCTCGAGGGCGACGAAACAACGCGGCGCGAGCGTGAGGCTGATGATGCGACAATGTGCGTGCCTATATCTCGGTCATGGATTGATACTCTTGCTAATTTCAATTTAGTTTGCGGCTCAAGATCTTCCGTTCACTCGGTGTTGATATCGAGCCCGATGAGGCGGGTAATTTCAACCGAGCGGTCATTCGCAATAGCCGCAAGGGCGATGTTCATGTCGTCAATATCGACCCGAAATTCTCCCGCTTTTTCTACGCAAACTACTTTTGGTCAACGATGCAAGGATGATCACGACGAGGGACGATTTTGTGGGTGTTTGTGCTCTCTGGCGTTTTATTTTTGGAGGCTGGAAGCTGTGTCTTTCTATCGTTGTTGGTGTTTCTATACCCTTGGATTATTTTCTGTCATGAGTCATACAATTCTTCTGAATATATTCTAGCCATATGGCTACCTGGATATAGCATGTTTTTCAAGTAGTAGAGCGTTCACTCGGAAATCGGCTGCTGTTGTAGCCGCTCTTGTAAAGCTTGGATGACCTTCTTCCGGTCTGTATCCGATATTGTCCTATCAAGCAATTGAGCAGATCCATCATGTGGCAAGACTCTTTCTATAGCATCCAGCAGCTCTCCCTTCTGGGTTTCTGACAAGTCCATACCCCAGGATGCAACCCATTGCTCGGCGAACTCGATAAGGTTTTGCTCCACCTGGTCCATATCGGGGATATCACACCCATCCCATGTCAATAGCATTTCCTTTGTAGCTGCGCCAGACGCGGCGTATTCTGTGGTTCTATATCGCGTTTCCACGCCTAGAGGGCCGATCCCAAGTTCCTCTGCACGGGCATTCCAGAGCGCCTGCTTCAAGGTTCCATCCCGTTCAATCATCATCCAGAACAACGGATACGCGCTCCGAGCTAAGGTATCACGAACACCTTTGGTTGCCTCGCGCGGGCTCACTAGCACGCCAACCGTCTCGCCCGTGCGCCACCCGACAGGTGCCTGGCGGAATGTTCCTTCTAGCTCGCGGACGACATTCGGGCCTAGTTTGGCCTTCAGTGATTTGCATTGTACTAGTACACGTAGTGCGCGCTCTCGTTCCCGCTCCGGGAGGTGCCAGGTGCCAACAAGATCGATGCCGGCGTCGTCGCGACCGCCGATGCGATTGAGGCTTAGCGCATAACGGCGTAGGGTCTGGAGAACGGTGTACTCGTAGTGTGTGCCGACATGTACCGTACTCGTTTCTGGGAGAGAAATATGCTCCGCGTAGGAGAGGAATGTTGTCAGGTCATTGTGGTGTTGCGAGGGTGGAGATGGGGCTGAAGGGAGTTTGAAGAGCCGGCGGGTAAAGGGTGTCAGCTCATAATGAACCTGGGAGCTAGAAAAGCAGCGACAGGTGTTTGTTCTAAGTCTCAAGGGAGAGTATCCGGCAGCAAGGCCATGGCGTAGTGGCAACAGGCGCATTGAGTGATGTGAGGGAGAAAAGCCCGTCTCACCGCATTGGAGCTTCTCTCCGCATTTGCTCCGCTTCTTTCACTCGACCATACATTCTACTTTCCTTTCTCATGCCACTTTAAGCTTATTTCATTTTCCTTTCGAGTCGCTAATATGGCTGACATCCTCACACAGCTCCAGACTTGTCTGGATCAGGTAAAATTCTCTCCCTGGCACCTACATTCAAACTCTGGCTAACCATACGGACAAAATAGCTCGCAACACAATTCTACGCAACACTTGGCTATCTCACAACATACCACGACAATGCCCCAACAACACCACCGCCAAATGTCCCCAACGCAGTACCAGCCCTAGCCAAGATCACCAAGAACTCGTCATCACCCCCGGTCCCAGCAGCTATCGCAAATAAAGTGGGGGGTGCAGCCGCCGTTGCAGGAAATGCATCACCCCCGCATGCGCCTCCTCAACAACCCGGAGCTGCGCCAGGGACAGCACTACAGGGTGATGATCCCAACCTTCCTCCCGCGCCAGACTCACCCAGCACATTTGCGAGCCGCCAACGAGAGCTTGCGCGCGATCTCATTATCAAGGAACAGCAGATCGAGTACCTTATCTCTGTGCTTCCTGGAATTGGCGCCTCTGAAGCCGAGCAAGAGACCAGAATCCGGGAACTGGAGATAGAGCTTAGAGACGTTGAGAAGGAACGCGCTGCGAAAGTGCGGGAGTTGAAAAAGTTAAGGACTCGGCTGGAGGATGTTCTCGGCGCTGTTGCTGTTGGTATCCATGGGGATGGGTACCCTTCAAAGTGATTATGCGTGTGCTCGAGACAATACGATTTACCTGCAATTTCGGAGTAATATGAAAAAGATAGGGCTAGCGCGGGGTTTCATTTTCCTTGCTATATTCTCGGCGTTATGTGATGGAGGATCTTTTACCAATTGCACAGACATGAATAAATCCCACGAATACCACATGATGATACCATTCTAATTTCTTCCAGTCTTGTGATGGGGTCTTTCTTTGCAAGACGCTCCTCGTCTAGAAGAATGATGTCTTGATATATTGGCCTGAGGCCGGTGTACATGGTTTAGCTAATTAAGCATGTTGCATTCCAAGGTTGATATCAATGCTGAATTTCCAGTTGCCCCTCGCTTTGAGTTGATGGACATGGTGCTGAAACAAATGATATCTTGACACATTTATCCCCCTTCCAATCTCCAATTCGACAGCAGCCTGATTCTCCAGAAGCTCAATATGGATTGATTTCGACATGTTTGCATTGAAGAATGCTGATTGATGTCGAAATGGTGCAGATGCCAATTAAGCGCTGCTGAAATCCTGCAAAACGACTTCGAGGCTCATGGGCTTAGCAACAACTACGTCGACTTCGTGAAAGTCAACGTTCTTCATTCAGTGGAAACCCAGGGCAACCAGGCAGGCTTTGTACCATCAGTTAGGGCTGGATACACATGTCCACACTTTCCAATGTTGTTCATGTACACTTTGGTAGGGTCGTGAGCAAAATCAGCAAGCTAGAGTCACTAGAGAAAAGACTTTCAATCAACCTAGGAACAGTGTGACATAGAACGTATAGTTTGTGGTGTTAAATCGTTCTGAGTTGGACACTTCTATTGGCATCTCGCCATACATACAAAGAGTATAAACGATAGCATTCTACTCAGGAGTCATATTCCAACTCCTATATCCTCTTTTCTGAAGTGAACTTGAAGTGTGTATAATCTAGTGTACGTGCAGATAAATATGTTTAGAGACAGTGAATGGCACATGCAGGAAAAAAATTATTTCTTTGGTCAAAGCAAGCAAGCCCGTGTATAAACGTGCTTGAAAACTTCACCGTAAAAATGAAAAAGAGAAAACAAACGCCCGGGATATGACCATAAGGAGAATAAAAGATGTAATAATAGATACTAACGCCTTCTCCTTTTCCGGGTATCATGAAACGAAACCAGCGAGCCACCGGGATTGGGGCAAAATCAAAAGAAAATCAAAAAAATCAATGGGAACTGAAAACGAAAAAACGCAGGGGTAAACGGAAAACTGAAGCATGCAAAAAGCATGCACAGCTGAAACATGGAAACAAAATATAAGAGAATCAAATCTACCTGAAGAGATTGCGGTATTCACGCATGCGAGCCTCTTGGGTCTCTCGCTTGTCCCGCTTTACGCGATTCAAGCTCGTGTCGGCCATCTCTTGCTTCTTCTTGGCGAGGTCCATGATCTTCTCCTCGATGCTGCCCTTCATCACGAATTGGAAGGTTTGCACGGGGCGAGTTTGGCCAAGGCGATGAACACGGTCAATCGCCTGAGCAACGGCTGCTGGGTTGTACTGGGGTTCCATGATAAAAACACGCGAGGCAGAGGTGAGATTCAGGGCCACACCACCGGCACCGATGGTTGCCAGAAGAACTTTGATGTTGTCATTGTTGGCAAATTCCTCAAGTGCCTTGGTGCGCGCTGCAAGGGTCATGGTACCATCGAGTCGAGTATACCCGTCAAGCCCATTGTTTTGCAAGGCGATCTCAATGAGATCCAGGTGCGAGGTCCATCCAGAGAACACGACACTCTTGATCGGCGACTCGCCTTCGAGTTTCTTGCTATCTTCGACACTTTCCTTGAGGTAGTTGACCAGTGCAATGGTTTTGGTGTGCGGTCCTTCGTATTCACCCAGATTCTTGCCCAGCTTCCGGGTTTGCCGATTACTTTCCTTTTGGGCCTCGTATTCTTCAAAGCCAGCAGGCGTGATAGTTGAGTATTTCATGTGAACCCAGCCTTCGCATCTAGGGCAACGGATCTGGGCGTCGGGAGACGAATCGAATGCTTCTTTCCAGCCAGAGAAGCAACCGGGGCAGAAGATATCGGAGCATGGGAGGGCAAAAGCCATTGGAGAGTTACGGGCGACAGCTCCGATTGAGTTCAAAGGTTCATCGAGTTCTCGATTGCAATTGCCACACCGGGGAACTGCGGTTTCCTGCATTAGGGCGAACATTTCATATGCCTTCTTGTCTATGGCTGCCGGGGTTTCGTCCGAGTCGCCCTCCTCCAGGTCAATTGCGTCGTTAACGGACATTCCCTTTGCTCTCTCCCGGTCTGAAGTGTCAAGAAGCTCTTTTCCGTGTGCGCTGACTTGGCGGAGAATCATCATGGCTTTCAAAACATGGTGATACATCCGGCCACCCATCTTGCGCATCTCCTCACCAGCAATGACACTCATCATCACATTCGATTCCGCGCGGAAGAAGTCATGCAATTGCTGTTCTTGCTCAGTGAATTCTAGTGTGATGATATTGTCTGTCCTGGGTGGCAGATTGATTTTGTCCTTGACTCTGCGCAAGGTGAATGAATCCACCAAAACTCGCAACCTGGCAAGTACATTGGGGTCACCATTTTTGACCGGGCTAGATACATGCTGGGAAAATTGACTGCGTTGGTCGTAAGGGGCAATCCGTAAAAACTTGGTCACAGAGAGGAGATCTTCCATGCGGTTTTGGATTGGGGTTCCGGTAACCGACCACCGACGCTCGGAGTTGAGCCCAAGGATCGCCTTGGTCTGTGCTGCATTTTGTTCTCTGATGATATGAGCTTCGTCAAGAACAATTCGGAACATGTTCATTTTTGTCAAAGGACTCAATTTTCCACTTCTGGCGCCACGCCCTGAGATCTCGCTGAGAATGGTACTGTATGTCGTGATAATGATATCGTACTTGGAAAGTTCCCTGAACTCCGTGGTGCGCGATGGACCGTGGAAGACGTAGTAGCTGATGGAGTCTGGCTTGAGATGGTCCTTGATCTGTGTCACCCAGTTGCTCACTGCACTCAATGGGACAACTAATAGTGTTGTCCGTGTGTTTCGAATTCCTGGAGCTCGGCGAACAAGGACGGGATCAGGAGCCATCTCAGTCCAGTCTTCAGCTAACGCAAGCGATGAGGTGATCAACGAGAGAATACTCAGAGTCTTGCCCAGGCCCATCATGTCGGCTAGCAAGCCACCTAGAGCTTCCTCAGGCTTTTGCTCTGAGATCATTCCAGTGATAATCTCACGGTACTGAGTCTTCCCATTTGGTGCACGTTCCATTCGCCACAAAGAATTGTTGTCTTCTTCTTTTCGGCCAAATTTGCGCGGCTTTTCTTTCTCTGTCATGAACCAAAGTGCTTGCTTTTGGTGATGGAGCATTTTTGTAGTGATGTGAGGAGATGGCTCCATCGTCGGAATGTTCGCGTTGGCAAGCTGGTCGAACATCTTCATGACTGCATCATTGGCCTCTTCGGCAGTTCGCGCTTCATATCGGACGGTTGGCCCTGGGCGAGACCGGCCAGAGTTGTTGGCGGCAGTGCTTGCGGCAAGCTGGCGTCGGCGCTCTGCGTGTGGATTGAATACAGTAATTCCTTTGTCCACGGAATTTGGAGTTCCTAGCCAGATGTTACGGTGAGATAGGAAGTTGCCGACAGCCTCTGCGTGCTTTCTTTGGCCGTATATATTGAGAGTTGCACGCCATAGTCCTGAGGAGGGACCCCATATTTCCTCATCTGGTGAGGTTCTCCGGATATCCAATAAGGCTGTCACATCGATAATTTTTGGTTCGGAGTCTAGGAGCGGACACAATCCTTGTGCCGTTTTAGGGTCGATTGAACCGAACACTTTGCCGTGAGGGTCCGCGACGTGGATCTGAAGATTTCCTTTCACCGGCTGGCGTTGTATGTCTAATTTGATAGACGGCCAAGCGTGGGACCAGTCAGTGAAAACAGAGTGTCCTGGTTTGGGAACTGTGTGCGAAACGATCATTGCGTTTTCAACTTTGCCGAAGCAGACACGCTGGGCGCTGAGATCTGTTGAACCGGTGCATTGGACTTCGTCATCGTCCTGGGGCGTGCTCGGAAGGTCTAGAACAATATTAGATTAATTCAAACAAAATCAGGGGAAACGGGAGAAATGAAACATCTCATACCTGCTGTCAAATCCACTACGCTGGGTGTAGTGGAAACCGGGGTTGATTTCGCATTCTCCTCTTTCATCCACTTCCCAAGCCCGCTATCTCCAGGGATCGAGATCGGTGCTTTGGTCATGTTCTGTTTATCTTCCACATCATGATCAGTCTTAATCTTCTTCGACGGTTGGTTTTTCCTTTTTTCAACGCCATAGACATTCTCGATCAAATTGGGGCGGTAAATCATGTCTTCGTCATCGCTCATCTCGTGGTGACTTCTTTTCGTGTCGCTTTCGTTGTCTTCATCATGCGTGGTGCTGAACTGCACAGTCAGACTGGATTCTGACTTCATAGCCGGGGTAGAGATTCCAGACGCCGCACTCGGAGACGTGCGAATAGTGGGTTGATGGAAGCGCGTAGCGGCTGTAGTGCCCGAAGGAGCCATGGGAGAGGCAGAAGATGAACCATTTCCCGGCTGTTTTCCTGGTCCTTCCAAAAGTAAGCCTTGGGAATCCGTGGAGTTGAGAATCATGGGGTCTGCTGGGGGAGAAGTAACAAGATGAGATAAATTGTGGGAAGAAAGGCTCGAAGATGGACTCGGCGAATTTGGAGCACGAGGGGGGGAAGAGTCAGTTGGGCTAAGAGACGTTGTATGCATAACTGAAGTATCCATCTGAGGGGCAGAAAAGACACAAGATTGAGCTGGATGCATCATGTCCTCGGAGATAGGCTGGGTATCCATCTGAGTGCCAAGATGGACAGGAGCCTCAGGTGAGTCATTAAGATCTCTAGGCATGGCCGAGGCATCCATTGTGTCCACGTGAGAAGAAGCAGCAGGAGAAGAAAATGCAGAAGAAGAAGTCATAGACTCAGGCGTGTCATGGGAAAGCTCGCGGGACATAGCGACAGCATCCACGGGAGGTAAATCACTCGCTGGGGAAGAAGAAAAGGGAGGATTACCATTGCCTTGAGCTTGTCTTTTAGCACCCTTCGGATTCAGGAGCATCGCAGCATGAGATGCCATGATGTCTCAATCGTGACCGAGAACTCCGGGATAAGGTTTGGTCGGATTCTAGGTTGAACGGTGTTGTAAAAGCGAACTGATGGAAGTTAGTGGATCAGAGAGGCAAAAGGGCTGGTTGTTCGTTTCACTTGCTGTGGATGAAGTAAAGGACCGAGTTCCTTCAGACTGGCAAGCTTTCAAGCTTTATGACCAAACTCAATTTGAGAAGGATTCGTAGTGGTATCAGGTGGTTTGGGATGAGAGATGGGCGGTTGCGGTTTGGGATCGATTATCCGCCTGACTTGTTTGTCGTAAGTTTTGCTGGTGAGGGCAGATCAATCAAGTTCAAGACCTTTGAGCCTTGATGTTACGTATCAAATATTAACGCTGCAGCTGAGTGATTGCGCAAATGGTCCGGTAAACGAAAGGTGCGTCTTCCAGACGCGAGAGTCGCGAAATATCCGGCGTCATTGAAAGTGAGAGATACTGAAGAAAATTGCGGGCAACACTAGTTGCGCTGTTGTCTTGGTCGTCGACGTATATATCCTGGGGGGAATCACGTCGTTTTCCTGGTCGCAATCCAGTCGGCGCCTTGTCGTTTGCCTCGTCGAGGGAATCGTGATCACGTTCGTGGGCGGCTCTTGTATTGTTCGAGGGGAGTGTCCTTGACCGCGAGTGTTCTCGCCGTGGGTGTTTCGGTTTGCGCGACTTCTTTGCCCGAGTCACTCGTAAGGTCAGTCGTGTGCTTAGAAACTCGAAATGACGAAGTTGTTCCTCCAGTGAACTCGGTGCCTCGGAGAAACCCGCCGATAAGATCTTATCAGTCCGCGCGCGTTTGGTATAGAACGCAACTTTGAAGTACTTGAATTAATTTTAACTTGGAGAAAGCTGGAAAGTTGAAGAGTGCAAAATATAAGAGAGCAAAACCCGTATGCATCTAAACGCGTGACATGGATATATGAGGTCCCGAGGTCCCCACTATGCCCCCGGTCATTTTCTATAGATTGTGGAGATATATTAGATCTTGAGGCTTGAGACTTGGGTACTTTTTTTTGGCTTCTTCTCTCCTTCTATGACATGTTACCTGAGGTTATATGCTAACTATATATGTAAATGTTATACACGGAGAGACTGTTTGCACATTTGAAGCCGCTTTCACCGCCAATAAGGGGGACATCTGAGAAGAATATCTGAGTAAACGTCTAAAAAGACCTACAAAAAGACCTTTGAAAAGACTACCAAAAAGATACGTCTCAAGGCCGCACACGCGGCCGATTATTCTTGTATGTACATATGTATGTACCTAGATATGTGAATGGCCACGTTTGTGGATTGCTTATCTGTTTTGGCCTAGGCCAGGTGTGTTTGCGATGGCTAAGATGTTGTCTCACGAAACAATGTCATCAAACAGTCCGCGAGGTCTTGCATGAGGGACTATTGCGTCAAGCCCCGGCTTCATTCTCAACAATATGAGATATTTCTGACTTGAGCACCAGAGATCGTATACTACCCCGGCCTAGGTTAAGATTTATATCTTGTGATATATTGCAGGGTTACATCTATGCCGCCACTAGCTGACCTGATTAATTTAGTTCAACTGATCTAAGAGAATAGATGATAAAGGTATCATGGAATTAAGTCTCGTCAATATGCTACATGAGGCAGATCGCCCAATCAATGCGCCATAGCCCAAGGCTACCCCAACAGTTAGAGAATGTCTATATACAACACGGAAATCTCCCAAATCATGAGCATGTCCAGCAAAGGACTCGTGTTAAAAAAAAGGCAGTCAAAATCGTGAACAGAAATTGGGAACCGTTTCCGTAAGGACGGGGACCCAACAAATACCCCGAGAAGACAACGCCGCAGAAGATAGCTGCAAATTAAATGAAAATGAAGAAGTAATGCAAGAATGTAGAAAAGTGAAAAGTGCAAAGGGTAGTACGACACAATTTGGCCTTAACACCAGGTGAAAACAGGATTTTTGCTCTTGACGGCTTCCAGGCGCTCGACAATCACCTTGCGCTGGTTGCCTTCCATGCCCTCTGCAACTGCATAGCCAAGGTCACCTTCAAGATCATCGCTGCCAAATGTGTTAACATGAGGAACGCGGAAGGGCTTGGCACCGCCGTTTTTGCGATGCTTCTGCTGTCGGGAAGGAAGTGAAGGCCATCCATCTAGAGAGCCCCCAGTGTTTCGACCGCCGAAGTCATTTATAGTCGCGGGGCTACCGACAGAACCATCAGCACGTTCGCTGTCAGCGTCAGGTCGACCACGGGTGAGTTCGAACCGGTTTGGGTTGGGGAGGTCGCTTGGCGACGAATTTAATCCCAATAAATCGTGTTCGGGAATTGGCTGGGAAGATGCGGATGCACCAATATCCATCTCTTCTTCATCAGGGTCGTAATTCATAGATTTGTTCCTTGGCCTGTCTGTGGAAGGCGCGCGCATCGGAATAGCAACGGGGACATCAACCAAGTCATCCCATACACAGACTCGGGTTCGTCGAGTCAGCTCAAGCGGGCCATGATCCGGTTGCTTCAATGTTTCCACCACATTCCAGGCTTGACCCTTCATGACGGCGATTTGTCGAGCGAACATGCTCTCTTTGAAATCATCATCTTGCGCAAAGACACTACGCAAGGCCATCTGTGTACCGCTCCACCAGGCTGTGGATGTTAGTAATGGAAGGAAATGGTCACGGGTTCTCTGCGAAAAAGGTTGTCCGATCAAGGAAACTGGTAGGAAAAGCCAGCCGAAGGGGAAGCTGCGCCACTACAAGTTGTTAGTGTTGGGAAGTCACAATTACACGTGCATACGAAAACTTACGGCATCTGGATGTTTCCATGGCCAGGACAGACTGTTGTCAATGGCACCAAGCTGGACAGAAGCTGACTGTTCCGATGAGGCTAGTGGGGTTCCCGTGCGACTGATAGCCATCATTGTTTCATGCCGCTTGTATGGGTGGAAGGAGGGATTGGGGGTGCCATTCGAATTCACGGAAACAGGACGAGCTGGGGGCATAAGCTCGTCTTCATCGTGCTTAGGCTGCGGTCCAGTTTGTTTTGGGGGCTCTGCCACGATAGAAACCTGCTCTGTCCCCCAGTCAATCTTGACCATCCAGTTGTCCAGACCTCGATCGGTGTTTCGCATGATATAATCTAGAATCACAAGCTTCTCCAACTCTTCACGGAAGGATTGCTTGAGATTCTCGGTCCAGTAGAATCGGCGCTCAGCACTTTCGTCACGCGAACCGGAACCGGCAGGCGAGGGCACATAGCCCGGATCTTCGTCATCCTCGTCTTCTGACTGTGCCCCAGATGGACGGCAGGCCTCATTCCATGGCCGCTTCTTGCGCTTCGGGGCATCCTGAGTGCGGAATCCAGTATTCGCCTGGTCAGGCCAGGGATGTTCTCGGAGGAAAATATTGGCGTCCTTGAATCCCTTGAGGAAGACTTGGAAACTGCCAGCTTTAGGAGGCAAAACCTTCTTGCCTTTCCATGCTTTTCTCCGATCCCAGAAATCGTAGAAGAACGACCTCGAAGACAGTCGTACGATACCAGTGTATGGGACGAGGTTCGTGTGTAGGCGGGCATCGAGAACGTATGCAGCGGCTTCGGAAACGTAGGAGAGATTAGGAATGAGACACGCGCGGCCGAAGAAGCAGGGGAACAAATTGCGGTGAATCCATTTTGTCCATTTGGGGTTGCGTGAGGCGTACGGCTCTTCGTCCTTTGGCTTGAACACACCCACTACTTTCCCTTCGGGGTTTCGAGCAAAGTAGCTGCCCGAGCTTCCTTGTGAGATCATCCGAGGATGTATGTCCATTTCAATTGCAAGGCGCACACTTTCAATGATCTCCTCGTACTCGGCGCGGGCCCGCCGTTGCTGACCCTCAAACTCATCTGACTCGAGAGCTTCGGCGGTCACGGGGGTAACTCCGGGAGGTGCCTGGAAGACTGAATGGTAAATCTCTAGCTTCTCTTCCTCATAGCTTTTGCCCTTGACACGGTTGATCTTGAATTTGGAGGCAATTTCGTCCGCCCATTTTTCGAGACGCGCATTGATGGCTTTGATGTCCACCCCGGAGTTTCGACGACCTTGGGGGTACTGGAAACCACTGTGTCTGCGTCGATGGCCTGGGGGAGTGTGGAGACCGGACGCCTGCATCTGGGCTCTGGAGGAGATGGGAGCATATCGGGGAGCGGAGGTGGACGCTGTTGAAAACGCGCCGATGTCTTCGTCTTCTGAGTCATCGTGAAGGTACCCTCGCTCCTCTTCAGCCTGAGCGAGCCGGGCATATCCTGAGGTGGCAGGACGATTCTTCGGCATTGTGATTGAGGAGGGTGGTTGGATCTATGGAAGATGCAAACGGGCAAAATAACTCGAAGGCAAATGAGAGGAAGGCTGGCAAAGAACGAAAGGACACCAAAAGAGATTAATCCATCACAGAGAAGATAATAGAAGGAAAGGACCACTGGTGGATACAATAGAGAGTTGATAGAGTGAAGGCAGTTGAAATAAGTGTCACCTATGTCGGGACGCTGTCGGGACGCCCCCTTGGGTGTCCCGAAAGCATGATTACAGTTAATTTACACAGGCGGTGGCGTATTGAGTGGCAGAATGGAGGAAAGTGTGTGAGGTGGGCAGGTCCACCTTGTTAATTACCGTTATACAATTACGCACCGCCACACTCTGTCTCCACCCCCTAATCGAAAGGGGCCTCGATGGATGGATGCATCAAGAAGTATGTGTTAAGAGCCCTGAAACTTGGACAGAACCGCAATTGATCTCCATATGGCACCCCTCTATGACGAATTGGGACATTCAGGGGACAGCAACTTTGTATACACGGTCAATGTTGGTAAATCCGCCACGCTGGCAAATATCCGCTCTGGTGCAGGAAATTTTATACGCATAAAACCCGTCAAGGAGTTAATCGCCCGTAATCAAATCAGATAGTGCAGAATGGACTGATTGTTGCGCTTCCTGATATTGAGAGGCTGGGGTCGTAGAATGAAGAGGCAAAACAGCGCAGGTTAATTGAATTGAATACATTCTTTGCGAGACAAAATATCACAACGTTGACGCCCCTGACATGCCGTATTAAATAATGGTTGATACTGGGGCAATCGTTATCCCGATTGTTATTATCGCGTCTTATCGTCAATCTCAATTCTGCATCCTCTCTCAACCCCTACCCTCACCTATCCTCGGCCATCATGTCGTTAATTTAAAACTTCATTCTTCTTTTCGGTCTTATTAACTTATTCAGACACGATAATTGCTCGCAAGTCTAATCCTGTCCCTTCTCTCTGGTATCCATTATCACTGTTCGGAACTTCACTTTGAATCGATCACTGAGGAATTGTCCTGATATAGACCCATTGACTCCGAGTCCTGCTCCGAGTCCGTTGTTCATAATCGCATCCATCGCGCGACTCGCTTGACACCTACCGTTTCTCCTTTAATTCGGTCTAGGGCCGGATTTCAATTGACACCTACCTCTCCCCTCCACGGTGGCTTCCACCCTCTATCGGGCGTCGCCCATCGACCCGGCTCTCAAATCTGGTTCTCCACAGGAGCGCGAGTTCCCTTACGACTTGTCCGCCGAGAATTCTTCCGCCCGTCACGCATCTAACGGATCCACACCGTTTTCTACGACACTACCGGATATCAAGAGTGTGACCAAATTCGGCTCAGGTGAGAGCGACGGATACCCAGGCTCTTCTGTTAGCACATCGCTTCCTGGACTCGCAGCTCTGGCCTCGGTCGCTTCAGCACCAACCTCTAATCTTCGGTGCGTTGATACCCCATATGAGTCCTAAATGGAAACCACACGTGGATCTTTGGACGATCTATCTTGTTTGCGTAATCTTCAATCGGGCCCTGGGGAGCAGTAATCCGGCCCCTCATAAGAATTCGAATCAATTGGCTAATACATATATTTTCCCTTATTTTTTTTAGTTCATCCAGTGATGCAAGTATGAGTATGGCAAATATGACCTACGCTACATCATCACCGGCAGCTACGACAGGAGGACAAGGGAGTGGACCTGTAAGTGTGAAATATGCCTTATATTAAGAAACTGTTATCGGAGCGCTCGTTATCTCTGGGGAGTTATCGAAAGTCTTGGCGCCACTCGATCCGTGCACCCGCTTTTTCCCTTTCCTTATCGACTCAAATCTCTCACAATCTTATCATCCATCCTCTTCCTCTTCCCAACTTCTATACCCTCATAATGGCGACCACATTGACTGACGACAAGCGACCTCAATTACAGCCCGTTTGCCAAAATTGCGGCACCTCTACCACTCCTCTGTGGCGTAGGGACGAACTCGGTTCAGTCCTTTGCAACGCATGTGGACTCTTCTTGAAACTGCATGGCCGACCTCGTCCGATAAGCTTGAAAACAGATGTGATTAAAAGTCGCAATCGCGTGAAGACCGGCCAGGGCCCTAAGCGCAAGGTGAGTTCGCGATTAAAAAATTTTCCCCCCAGTTCCCCTGCCTCCCAAGTTCCACCTTTCTTAGATAAGAACATGCGCTAATCGAGATTACGATTTCGTAGTCTGGTGGCCCTGTCGATACCAATGGCATTCCACCACGATCTGAGGCGGGTACCCCTCCCCTCGGCTCGCATGGATACCGTCGCGCGTCGCGCAAGATGTCATCGGGTCATTCGGATCGCTCCAACTCCCCCGTTTCCCGGACCGAGACACCTGGCTTTGGCTCGATGCACGCGCACAACTCGAATATCGCGCCGCAGCACATGTTTGACAGCGTTACCCTGGGCGACAGCATTAATCCTTCCAGCGGTCTTCCCTCCCGCCAGATGCGCCAACCCTCTCCCTCGGCAGTCGACCGCCAACTCGATTCCCCCCACACATTCGAAAGCCTTCTGGCCCTCAACACATCCCTGAAGACACGCGTTAGTGAACTCGAGTTCGTCAACGAGCTCTTCCGCGGTCGCGTGACGGAACTCGAACAGAGTGACGCCAGCGCCCGTCGATCGGAGATGATTGTACGCGACTCCGAGGTTCGTTTGAGACGATCTCTCGAGGATGCTCAGCGCCGCGAGGAGGATCTTAAGCGTCGTGTTAGCGATCTCGAGCGCCAGTTTGGTTCTAGTAGCGCTGGCGACGCCGAGTCCGGCGAACCGGTCGCAAAAAAGATCCGTCTGTCGGATGTTGTGGAATCTGGCGAGGATGTGCTAGTCAAATCTCCTAAGAGCGTTTAGGTCTTGCGGTAACCTGCTATTTCCGGCTCCTTTCCCACCTGCTTATTCACTCCATCATCGGTCCACGGGTAGTACAAGCTTTTGAGCTACATTACGCTTGCTGCTCTGCTCCAACCTCTGATATTCTTGATACCCTTCATGGCTCCTTCGTCATCACTGGCTGGAACTTTACCCAAAAAAAGCTACTATTGAATGGTCTCAATTTCTCTTACTTTCTTATGTGCGGATGTTTCCCCAAACATCTTGTTTTAATCTGCTTTCCTTGCGGTGTGCTGTACGAACTCTTTCACTATGCTTCTAATACAATACTTGGTCACTATCCTTCTTTTCTTCCAGAACTCGAGTGTCCGGAAGATCAATGGATCGGTGATCCAACTGGGAAATGCCTTGTCGTCTAGGTGTTTTTGCCTTGGATGTTTCTCTCAATGCGCTAGTTGGTGCTTGCAATCGTCATTACTTCAGTTGTCTGCTTTGATAGAGCAATGCAACTGTTTTGGATTGTTTATGCCAGCTTTGACGGGTCTGCGGGCCGGGTTTTCTTTTTTTGTTTTACACGAACGTTCTCGCTTTCTGTGTTGCGATATCTACATGTATGCTAGGAGGGAAATGAAAGTGTCATGCGAAATCTTCCGACTCGTAGCAATATTATGACCTGGTTCGAATATCGTATAGATGAGGCAGCAAGATATACAATTGGGAAGGGATATTGAAGGAAATTCACCATTAGATCGAGACCGGGGCTAATGACTACTTGGATAATAAGTTGAATAATACGGCAAGATGTCCAAATGTACAATAATGAAATTGACCAAGTCCTGGCCCATGGAAAGCTAAGATAAACCAAAGAAAGAAACAAAGTTAGACGCAAAGTATCAAGCCTATAGAGAAAACAGTGCATCATGGGTATACCAAATGAGGACACCAGCCAAATAACATCCCTTATAAAATGTACTCTATGAGAAGCCATCACAAATCGCAAAAAGTCTAAGCAAACATGCAAGCAAGAAAGCAATTCATAAGCCCACACTTGCCATGTAGGTCGTACTGCACCTAGATGATCCAAGTTGATAGAACAACATCATCAAACTCACGCAAGTCGGTGGTCTAGCTTCTTATTCATGATGTTATCTTTGTTCCTCTCGCGGATAATGGTCCACAGACAAACAGCGATACCAAACAACCCGGAAACAAAGGTCATGAAGTAGGCTGAGCGGTAGCAGCCCAGTCCATCGGGGCACTCGCGATCACCATCATGGCCGACAACAGAGTGACCATCGTATATGTTGCCGTATAGCAGATTGAAAACGTTACCACTGAACACTGGGGCTAGTGTCATGACGCCCCAATTCTGGGACAAGCCGCCGATGCCGAAAGTGTGTGCGGTTAGGGAAGGGAAGACGCCAAACAGGAAACCGTACGCGATTCCGGTGAAGCCAGAGACAACGACAAGGCTGTTGGGATTGGAAATGGTGGTGCCGGCAAGCTGGGTCAAGGTGAAGACTACCGCTGACAAGAATAAACACCAGATGCGGGACATGCCGAGCTTCTTGACTAGTAAATCAGAGCCGATGCCGCTGAATAGACGGCCAAGGAAATTGCCGAAGGAAAGAATGGAAACGTGCATGACCTGGCGGTGTTGGATGAAAAGGTCTGTTGCGCTGTCGTCATAGTACAGCCACAGGGCCTTCACACTGTTGCCGATGTTGTTGATGGTCATCAAGCCGATACCGGACAAGAGTGCCATGGTCAAGAAGAGTTGCCAGAACTCGACTTTGCGGAGCATGGCGAGACCTCTAATGTCGTTTTGGTGCGCCTCAATGGCCACCTCATCTAAGAAGTCATCGTCAAGTGTGTCGAAAGAGGGACGCGGGTGGTCGTGCTTGGATACCAAGGTGGAAGTCTCGTCGTCATTGGCGAATGCTCTGCCTTGGGAGTTCGAGGCAACCGAGTGCGACCGCGCATGCGCGGGGTATTGTTCGTGATCAAAAGCAGTAGAGCCATGTAGATCGGAGTTCTCTGGGACAGATCGAAGGTCGCTGGTGTTGTGTTCATGAGCGTTGTGTGGAATGGACGAGTACGGCTCGCTAGCGAGGATTCGAAGGAATGGAATTGAGGCAAAGGACAGAATCGAGGTTCCGAGGGCTAGAAGCAAAAGAAAGCGGCCGGTATCGTCCTTGAAAACGAGGGTCGACAGATTGGACCAGAATAGCGCGCTCAGTCCGAAGGCGGCCATCGGGAAAGCGGTTGCCGTGCCGCGGTGGTCAGGGAAGTTGCATGCCGCTAGAATCATCAGTTTAACCCTACCAAGCAGAGTCCTTGGTGTAACATACCTGTTTTGATGGCACCGCCAAAGGCAGCGCAACCGCCCATGCCAGTAAGGAAAGTGAAGAGGCATAGGAAGACAACCGGCATCGATCCTTGCCCATTATCATATGCTACAAAACATTAGAACTACTCAATTCTGACAAGGTAATCTCAAGACATACCCATATAGATTGGGAAGTAGCCCAGGCCTAGGCAAATAGAGCCGATAAGTGAGACAAGCCGGGGACCACGAGCATCTGTCAATAATCCCATTGGAATCCCCATAGCATACATCCCCAGGTTCCCCGCGACACCCTAGAGGTTGTTAAGACCCGTTTCCCGACACCGGGCATTGGACAACTCACAATAAAATTGCTCTCAGTCGAAGAGAGCTTCATTCGCTGCGCGAATTGTGGCGCCCACGCGGAGTATGCATACTGACACGGAGTTAAGCTTAATGGTCCTGAATGAGATAAGATTGGAGATATCACGTACATTGGTTCCGCAGGAGAGGGCGACCAGCGTCCCCGCAATAACGGAAATAATCCGGGCAGTTCGGTGGAGAGAGCCGGACATTATGTCGTTCCTCAGCAAGTCGTTCTGGTTGATATCTCGTGCGATACAAGTGGTTTAGCGGCGGGAGTGGTTGATTAGGCCCTAGACAGATGTGAGGCCGACACTAGGAGAAACATCGGACCCGAAAATGAAAGACGAAAAGGGCGAAAAGAGCGAATGGAGTTATATAGGAGAGATTGAGGGAAGAAGGCCACTTGGGAGTTTTCAGGAGCGTACACTTAGGTAAGGACTTGGAGATGATCCTGGGGGCCGCGTGGTCGGAACAGCCGTCAAGCAAGCGCCAAGGAAACTTTGCTCCACGTCAACTGATGTACAAATACGATGGAGAATGAATTGATTTCTAAGATGTGAATAAATTAAGGAAATTGTGGAGGGATGAAAAAAAAGAGGAATGGAATGTAGCCGGGGGATGTACTATGTCGTCTTAGTCCTACGTTGCATCCTTGATAACACACATCAAGATTATGCAAATCCGTCAAATCCTCCGGAATTGCGCGAATCGGGACTCGTCATAGTTCGATTACCCGGCCAAATGTGTTTCTCCACACGCGATAAGGCGGAACTTGATACATTTGGATGCCTTGAGGCCTCAGTGCCTGATTTACGTTTCAAGTCACGACATAGTTACATGTGACTTGTACCTGCCCAGTAGGTATCTATCTATTTCCCGAATTCATCATTGAGCAGAGAGCATTTTGTATAATAGTAAAAGGCAACCCATTGATTTGTGTGTATGTACGACATAGTAACAGTTATTCTCTATGTATCCATATTCTACCGAGATACTAGTTTCCTTCCTTCTACCATCTCATTTAACAACTCAACTTCTTATAGTTTGACCATGAATCTCCGATCTTTGCTCTCTGTCTTGAGATAAGGAATGTTCTCAACAAAGGGCTACTGCTATTCATTGTAGATGATCTTGTCAGAACCTAGAAACTGGTTCAAATGTCATACTAAACAAATTTAGACCTTTGGAGTTCGTATAGTGCTGTGTTGATAATGATGTCGAGGGTCATGCTGGATAGCGGGGTGGAAAGGCTAATCCTAAAGGCTTGGCACGTGATCAATTTTCAACTTGGAGATATTACGTAACATCCATGACGGAGGCGGCCTCAGGTGATGATCTTCAATCTGGTCACTTGCCTCTCTCCACACTCTCATCGATTCTTGATCTAGGTTCACTTCCAAGGCCGTATACATTAGATCCTGACCAGTGGGTTATTGGATATCTGCACTCCCAAGATGGGTGCCCTCCTTTCCATTCCGCTGTTGGCCGTACCGAGTGTTGGTACAGTATGTTGTCGCCCACCAATCTCCACTTCACCGATACACTCGTTGCACAGTTAGCTAACTTGGTTTTCTCCCTCTACAGCTATTAACAGTCGGAACATCATGCTGTGGAGCAGCGACATGTTCTGCGGTCTGCAGCGCCTGCGGAAAGTTTCAAAACAGGTACCACTTATCGGCTGCCTAGTATGGAGAACCTCGGACTAACAAGGACAACAGTATGGCGACGAGAATCGCGTATGCCCTCATCCTTTTGATCAATTCCATACTCTCCTGGATCATGCTCACGCCGTGGGCTCTGAAAAAATTGCAGAATTTGACACTGGATTATATGGAGATTCGATGCGACGGGAAGGAATGTCACGGTTGGGTCGCGGTCCATCGGATCAACTTTGCCCTCGGTCTCTTCCATTTGATCTTCGCCCTTTTGCTTCTCGGGGTTAAAAGTTCGAAAGATACTCGCGCCGCTCTCCAGAATGGATTTTGGGGTCCGAAGGTCATCCTCTGGTTGGCCTTTATCGTCATGTCGTTCTTTATCCCTGAACCCTTCTTCTTCGTCTATGGCAACTATATCGCATTCTTCTGCGCCATGCTCTTCCTCCTTTTGGGTTTGATCCTTCTGGTGGACCTTGCGCACTCGTGGGCGGAGCTATGCCTGCAGAAGATCGAAGACAGTGACTCTCGTGTGTGGCGTGGTCTGCTTATTGGTTCGACCCTGGGCATGTACTTGGCCTCTTTCGTCATGACCATCTTGATGTACATCTTCTTCGCGAATAGTGGCTGCTCCATGAACCAGGCTGCTATCACCGTATGTATCCCCCACTCCACGAATCTTGGCGCCCAACTGACTTGTTGCAGGTTAACCTAATCGTGTTTTTGATCATCTCCTTCGTTTCCGTTCAACCGGCAGTCCAAGAGTCAAACTCTCGCGCAGGACTAGCTCAAGCTGCAATGGTCACTGTCTACTGCACCTACCTCACTATGTCTGCCGTTTCGATGGAACCGGATGACAATAACTGCAACCCTCTCGTCCGGTCCCGCGGAGCCAGGACGACCACTATCGTTCTCGGTGCGATTGTAACTATGCTGACCATCGCATACACCACCACACGCGCTGCCACCCAAGGAATTGCCCTAGGATCGAAGGGTGGTCACAGCTACATTCAGCTGGGCACAGATGACAACGAGCACGGCTTGGTGACCCAACAGCCAAATACCCGTCGGGAGATGCGCGCTGAAGCTCTCCGGGCCGCTGTCGAGAGCGGCAGTCTTCCTGCCAGTGCCCTGGATGAAAGTGATGACGAGGACGACTACGACACCGCGAAGGACGACGAGCGTGGTTCAACCCAATACAATTACTCGCTCTTCCACATCATCTTCTTCCTCGCCACGACATGGGTGGCCACTTTGTTAGTCCAGGGACTGACGCTGGAGACAACGGGAGATTTCGCACCGGTGGGCCGCACATACTGGGCCAGCTGGGTGAAGATCGTCAGCTCCTGGGTCTGCTATGCTATCTATCTGTGGACTCTGGTTGCGCCTGTTATGCTGCCGGATCGCTTTGGTGTCTATTAGGTCTTTTCATATTTATTTTGCGCGTTAAGAGCGGTAGTGTTGCTCATGATTCGTTTGTTTTGATTTATATCCGTAATTACAGTGCTGAATAATTCAAATGAATATATCCACATCCTTGTAGCGCAAATAAAACTTCCTTGGGTCAAGTAGAACAGGGGTCATCATGTACTCCGTACAGAGCTGTCATATGCTACCGGCCCACCACGGTCTTGGCAAACCAACGCGTTAAGTGAGACGCGTGCCAACTTATCCTCCGCAGACATTATGGGATGAAGATGGCGACAATCCAAGCCATCGAGGCGCGCTCAGTATGAAATCCGATGTCCTTCCGCAAAGTGTTAAACTGACCAGCGGATTATTCAGGTACACCAAATCCAATCGGGTCAAGTTATCGTTGACTTGTGTTCTGTCGCCAAAGAGCTTGTCGAAAATAGTCTGGATGCCGGCGCAACGACGATCGGTGGGTGAATGACTTTCCCAACATAGTCTGTGAAACATTTTCTGATGATTCTGGGGGGTTTCAGAGGTCCGATTCAAGAATAATGGTCTGGATCTAATTGAGGTCCAAGATAACGGCAGCGGGATCTCGCCGGAGAACTATGAGAACGTCGGTGAGTTGTCACTTCTTTCTTAGTACATGGCGCTCAAACTGATTATTCCTTTTTCTTAGCATTGAAACACTATACCTCCAAATTGTCGTCATACGATGACCTCTCGAACCTGCACACCTTCGGTTTCCGGGGCGAGGCGATATCCTCTCTCTGCGCGTTGGCCGACTTCCACATCGTTACGGCACAAGAAAAGCAAGTTCCCCGCGCGAATCGACTCGACTTTGAACAATCTGGAAAGCTCCGAAAGACACAGATCGTTGCTGGGCAGAAAGGAACGACCGCATCGGTAGAAGGTATCTTCAAGCGGCTTCCAGTGCGTCGGCGGGAATTGGAAAAGAACATCAAGCGGGAATACGGAAAGGTTCTGAACCTGTTACATGCCTATGCATGCATTAGCACTGGAGTCCGGTTCAGCGTCAGGAACACTGTTGGCAAGACACGGAATGTGGTGGTCTTTTCTACAAATGGAAATAAGACTACCAAGGAGAATATTGCCAATGTGTATGGCGCGAAGACATTATCCGCCCTGATATCCCTTGATCTAGAGCTGGAGTTTGAGCCTGCCACGGCTACGAAACGAGCTGGCGACGATCAATTGAGTAAAATTCAGGTCCGAGGCCATATCTCGCGTCCTGTGTTCGGCGAGGGCCGTCAGACTCCGGATCGTCAGATGTTCTTTGTCAACTCGCGGCCATGTGGCCTGCCGCAGATTCAGAAGGCGTTCAACGAGGTTTACAAGTCGTTTAATGTCTCGCAGTCGGCGTTTATATTTGCGGACTTTCAGATGGATACAAACGCTTACGATGTCAATGTTTCGCCTGATAAGCGCCAAATTTTGCTTCATGATGCGGGGGCTATGATTGAATCGCTCAAAGTCTCTCTTACGCAACTCTTTGCGGATGCGGACCAAACTGTGCCGCAGTCAACGGTCAAATCCAAGCCTTTGCCAAAACAGCAGCCACTATCATCACTTCCAGGGTTCGTCACTGCTCGGGAACTGAGCGAAAGCAGTGGACTTACAACCCCAAATCAAGATCGGACGAAAGAAAGCTCGGTGGAAACTCCGGGGGCGAGTCAACAAAGTGCGATTCAGCGTTTTGCGAGCTCACAAGCGGGCATGGGAAGTGCGCAGGCTACGCCATCTCCGGCTCGTTCAATGAGAACACCCCGCGCTGCAACCAATCGCTCTTCGATGTCGACCCCAGCTCCAAGTGAGCTAGAAACGCCTGCTGCGGCGATCTCTGACGATGAACTTTTCGTCCGAGAAGCCACACAGGAGGAGCCTGATCCAACCCCTATCTCTCAGGAACCCTCATCCCAGCCATCAGCCCCTGACGAGACTCCATCTCGCGCTCGTGGAGACCCCGCAGAAATCCCCAATATTGTCCAAAATGCCTTCGATAGAATGCGTCCACGACGAGAACCTGCCGAACTAGCCACCATCACTATCGGCAACCGGACCATAACATCCATGGTCGGTAGTGGTCCTCCACGAAAACGATTCTCAGAAGATCCACCTCTAATGAGAGAGCCGCCCCGACGGAAGAGACGGATACACACACCATCGCGCCCTAATATCTTCGGTGAACATATGAAAGCGTTTGCTGCGCCTGGATCGCAGCTGGATGACGAAGAAGATGAAGAGGGCTCTGCCAGTGAGGATGACCAGGCTGAAGAAAATAGAGATGACATTTTAAGTGAAGTCGAGGATACACAAGACGCCGAGCAAGAGCCTGAAGACGAAGGCTCTCCTCCGCCTGAGGATGTCGACTATGTTCCCGACCAAGATATAGTTCTGTCAGAAACCGAAAACACCGAGACGAAAGACAAAGAAACTGCTGCAGATGAAAGTCTCGACGAAGCCGAGAAAAAGGCACAGGAAGAAGCTACAGTTCAACGGCTCATTCATCAAGCCGAGGAAACTGCTATGCTTCCCCAAGAAAACAGCGTGAACCGTGCAAAGAAGATGAGCAAAGGTGCTACGCATCGCGACGCGACTATACAACTTGTCGGCACGGTAGACGGGTCTATTTCAAGTCTTCAATCTCAACTCATCAAACTGCAAAGGACGATGCAAGCGGGCCCCAAGAAAACCGAAGAGGAAGCCACTGACCTTGGCGAGAAAACCGCCGAGGACAAGCTTTCATTGACTGTAAGCAAGAACGATTTCGCACAAATGCGTATCATCGGCCAGTTCAACTTGGGCTTCATTATCGCAGTCCGTCCAGGAGAGGACCATGATGAGCTCTTCATCATTGACCAACATGCCTCTGATGAGAAATTCAACTTCGAGCGCTTGCAAGCTGAAACCGTGGTGCAAAATCAGCGACTCGTCCGTCCGCAACGCCTCGATCTCACTGCCGTCGAAGAAGAGGTTGTCCTTGAGAACCGTGCCGCTCTTGAGAAAAATGGTTTCCTCGTGACCGTCGACGAAAGCGGCGATGAGCCTATCGGTCGTCGATGTCAACTAGTCTCGTTACCGCTGAGCAAGGAAGTGGTCTTCGGCGTACGCGATCTGGAGGAGCTGATCGTGTTGCTGTCAGAGTCAATTTCAACATCAAATGGAGCGTCAGTACCACGACCAAGCAAAGTGCGCAAAATGTTTGCTATGCGCGCCTGTCGCTCAAGTATCATGATCGGGAAGACCTTGACGAGCCGCCAGATGGAACGAGTCGTTCAGAACATGGGTACTATCGATAAACCGTGGAATTGCCCCCACGGTCGACCGACCATGCGGCATTTGATGAGTCTTGGTCAGTGGGATGAATGGAATGAATTTCAGGAAACCGAAGAACTCGACCCTTGGAAACAATACTTGGAAGCAGAAGGCGAAGAAGATGAAGATGAAGAAGAATAACCAATAACGATACCCTGTGCGTGATATAAATGTATAACAAGAATAATTAAATCAAATGAACAAAAGACATGAACCCATCACCACCATCGCAACCACCCTTTCGCGGGCTGATCTACTTTCTTCCCATTAGCATCAACATCAACATGTCCATTCTGCCCATTTGAATTGCCATTCCCAACACCCCCAACACCCCCATTCAGTTCCGTATCACTATCCTCTCGGTCCTCATCATCCTCATTCCCATGTTCCCCATGACCCCTCTCAACATCATCCATCATATCCTCCAACGCCAGCAAATCGCGCTCAATCATCTCCGCCCAATTCTGTACATCCCCAATCTCCTTTAACCCCTCGCGCGTCTCATCCGCTAATCCAACCCACTGCTGATTCTGCCGCGCTAGTCGCTGCGTATTTTCCGCTAGCTCGACTTCTTGTCTTTCCAGCGCTGCCGCGTTGGATTGGATGTTTGCTGCGCGGTCGCGGAGCGGTGTTTCGAGGTTTGTTCCAACTGAGAGGAGTGTCGCAGTAAAGGCTGCCAGCGCTTCTTTTTGTTGTTGATCGTCTGGCGTGTTCGCGACTGGGTCTGCGGTTGTATTTGGGTTTGGGTTCGGTTGTGGGGTAGGGTTGTCCATGGTTGGCTGTTTATTTGGTTCGGATTTTGTCGGTGGATTTGTAGATTATGAGCTTTGGAGATATGATCCAAGTAACTGCTGGGGTCTCTAGGTCTCTTTGTATGTATTTTTTTTTTCTGGATATCTGGTTACTGATATACGAAATCAGCTGTAAACAAAAGATCGACAACCCCACCCGGCACATGTCATCTCTGTTGACATTCGTTCCCCGCCTTAACTTCTATACTTTATAAATTATCTTAATAATGCGCTTTCTCGCATTTCTAAATATAGTATAGAGAGATAACTAGTAACTAATTCTAAATGATTTAAACTAATAAAATATTACCTTAACATAAGGCTTAGAAACGGGGGTAAAACGAAGGATAACTTCAAAATCCCTAAAAGGGGGTTGAACTTCTGAATTTCCGGCATATTTGTACTGCTTGAGGCCTATTTAGGGACCTATTAACCCGCAGTGGGCTTCTCCTTAAGCCCATGGCCTACCGGTGGGCCCGAAGGTAGGGCCCAAAGCCTAGCCCATTTGCGGGTTGGGTTGGGCTGGGCTATGGGCTTTATGGGCTTTGCGGAGCTCTAGTAGTGCTCACTGCAATTCAATCCTTGGATTATTCCCACTGATTACTCGTCTCACGCCATTAAAGCGGATGGGATATAGAGGGATGGCTCTTTTTGTGCGCGAGGAGTGCTCTGGTAGTACTCTCGACTGTAGTGGTCTCTTCTATTCCATAACAGTGAGTTGCGGGAGACATGAACAGCTCGTTGAGAGAAGCGTGATAGAACACCAGGGAGAGAGCACATGTTTACAACATACTCGAATGTTCAGCTGATGTGGGTACCCGCCTGGACCACCCCCAGGGCCAGGTAGGTATCCCAATTAGGCTTAGTGTTTTGTTTTCTTTGTTTGTGCAGATCAAAAGTGGGGTGACTTCCCAATTAGGCCAGAGCGAGGTGAGTCGTACCTTCTTCAACAACCTTGGCTGTCACATCGCGAGCTCCCCCATATAAAAGCCCCCCCTACCCCCGCTTCTTCACCTTCCTCCTGTCAACCACCTCCGTCGCAAGCTCCCCAGATCTAATCTGGCATGGCTAGCTTCCGTGACATTCAGTGGTGAAGGTGAGTATCACACCCTCTCAGTCAAGATGATCTGCTGACAATCGAAAGCCTTAGTAGATTTACGGGGGTCATACCCTGTACACATCGAACCGGCACCGTACGTTTTCCCACCCACCGATTTTTGGCATAAGTTTTGACAAGACTGACTCGCGCTTTTTCTTGATTAGAGCCTTCGTCGGAAATCCTAAGCCAGGCCCCCAAGCCTCGGCAGTGGTCGTATGTTCCCCTGCCAGTCATAATACTTTTCCCATCACTGACTGTTCACCCATCAGGACCTTCGTTGGATGACGGCAATGTACCTGCACTGAGCATGGGCTTTCTTTGATTGTCCTATCAGCCTTGGTGATGTGCGGGTGAGTTCTCCAGCCCGTGGAATTTTACCATTTCTAACCATAGTCTCCTCTCATTAGAAAATTGTCGCAAATGCCTGGACCAAATCGGCGCCCTCTTAGCAGGATTGTCCCTCTTAGAGGATTTGGGGAGGTAGATGGGATCATCCGCAAGTCCCATCAATCCACACGGGTTTGGAGGCCTGAGGCGGAGTCGGTACGCGCTGTAGCAATACACGTTGCCATTTCGTCTTGCGGGGCATCCGGGACGCAAGTCCAAGGTACGTTCTTCCCCGCCTATGGTTTTTCATCATTACTAACCCATGCTCTTCTCTCACCAGAACCTTTGTGGGAAGACCTGAAGTCAGACTGGGGGTGCACCATCCCAGTCCAGGCGGGTCCGGCTAAACTCCAGGTGAGTCCTCTTGCTCGGTTTAATTGTCTTTGTTACTAACTTGGGTTATCTCTGATCAGTGCTTTCAGCGGAGTTTGGGGCATTACGCAGCAACTGTGTGATTTCCCTTGCAACTGGCCGTGCAACCCCGCTCTTTTTCGAAAAAGCGAAGAAACAAGTTGGAGCTCCAACCTTGCGGTAAACTTGTTTAGCCTTCGGGTACCTTTCTGTGGGCTGTGGGATTTTGACTCAAGGAAATTAAGACCAATTGGTCTGTTGCATGGGCACGGGATCCAAAGATATACTTTTGAGTCCGTACACCCAGCAGGGCCATAGAACAAAACTTCCATTACATCCCTGATCGGAGTGGGTTGAATATACACAGAATTATTCACCTGCTATGCTCTTGGTCATTGATATACCTGGACACATTTGTCTTGTTCGAACAAGATTGGCGGTAGTTTTATTTAGTATCTAGCTTTGAATTCAAGAGACTTTTGATGTTCCAACTATAACCTCTGAGCCTCAATACTGACATGACAGAAATTCAAAGGAAAATAGCTTAAAAGTATCAATACATTACGATATGATGAGTTGGTAGTTGCAGAGTGTTTGGGAAGAGCATGAGAAATGACTTCAGTCACCCTGGAGGGTATCTCACCTCTCTATCGCTTTGCCCTCGTTTACAATATTTGACGTCAAGGCAATTCTTCTTCCCTTACTTTCATTTCTATTTTCTTGGACGACCCAAGTCAAATGCGGTTTCCTCAATACCGGCCTACATAAAGCCATCCAACAATTCGACGGCCTTGAGAGCTCCTGACCCTGACGCAGAAACACTGGCCACCATGCCATTCTGTTCCAATATCCCTTACAACAGTGATGAAAAATTGGTGAAGCCCCCGAACGGTGTCAAGCTATCTGATGAAAATGCGTATCTTGCAAGCATCTTACTGGAAAGCATCGAGGTGTTTTCCAAACTACAACTCCTCTTCCCCCACCTATAGGAAGAAACAACGGGCAAGACGGGGGTAACCAAACGGCAGGTAAGCCATTAATCAGTTGTCATATATCCCAGCATGTCTCTTCTTTTTCCCCTGTTGATCAGATACATACTCACAACGATCCAACGTAAGGGCCCAGGAGAGAACCAAGCATGAGGCTGTGATGGGGTTGATCCTCACAAAGCCTAGGTAAGACCCCCCCCCCCGCTCCCACTGTGAGTTTCCCCTTCAACCCTTCGAAGGCAACAGAGCTAATGCATTATAGACTGCCCAAAGCCCAGCAGGGTGCGCCAAAAGCACCTAAACTTCTGCAAAATAGGCGGGAATTATCCCATCATCTCTGATAGGGCCGCTCTAGTCTAGAAAATAGGGCGGTATCTTCGCCAGATGGATAAATAAGGCAGATGAACATAGAGTATACGGCTGTTGTCGTATGGGCAACTACTTGTACTTGACATCTGAGGTTGTTCCGAGCTTCAAAATGAACATTTATTTCGCTCTCTCATAATTCAAACATGTAGACAGTACTACCCAATCGTGCGGTATATTAGTTATCGTAATGCCTTGACGAGGGCACTTGAGCAGTCTAAATCTAATTTCAAATAAATTTTAAAAAGATATGAAGAACCTCAGGACCTATTTTGCACGACTTCAGTCTCATACTCTCTCATACCTCGATGTGCGCAGTCTCGACCATTGGTTTTTCCATTCTCTCGGTGTTCAAAGTTCGATGGTGGCCAGGGAGAACGGGATAACCTCTAGTTTCCCAAACACCTCCAGTAATGCCGCCTCTTGAGAAGAGGTGGTCAACATCCTCCAGTTCCAAGCCTTTGGTCTCTGGAAAGAAGAAAAACACCATAGGAATCTTAGTTCAGTTAGTATCATTAAACATAAAGAATTGGGTTCAGAATCGGGGTCATACCCAGGCAAAGCAGAAGCAGGCGAAGATGATGAATGTTTTCCATCCAATATTATCAATTGCCGTTGGCGTAATTTGGACGACAATGACTGCGAGGGTTAGCGAAGTCACATACTCTCTATGAGGTTCATTCAACTTACAAACACAAATCCAATTGACAAATCCACCAAACGCTTGAGCTCTAGCTCGGATACGCGTAGTCGAAATTTCAGAAGGATAGAACCTTGGTAGTTGTTAGCAGTGATACACGAATACAACCAAGATAGCAAAACACACCAGGGAACTGGAAGATATCCGATACCGAGGAACAACTGGAATATAAAAACAAATACGGTAGCTGCATATGCACATGGCGCAGTACCGATCGATAATAGAATAGCAGTCATCACGAAACAGAAGCAGAGACCAGCGGCAGAGACCATAAGTGATACCCGTCGGCCGAATTTATCCATGCTCCACAAGGGGATGACAGAGCCAACAAGGTACGCGAGAGAGGTGCAGCCGCCGAGAACCAAGGATAAGTTGCGAGATAGATTGATGGCATTCTGTATTGAGCTTGCTATCAGTTCACTTGTTTAGCTGGATATGGGTATAGGAGTATACCTGGTAGACAACGGGGGCGTAGTAGTTGATCATGTTAGAGCCTGGGATATGTCAATACCTGAATTCCCTGCAGTGCCCGAATGGGTATTACTCACCTGTAAACTGCTGCTGGATATTGACAACAGCAGCCAAGATCATACGTCGAAGATTTCCCATCTGGCCACCTGACCAGAGCTCTTTGTACTTGAAGGGTCCGCCAGCAGACTCAATCTCGATCGATGATTCAATTTGACGACGTAGAAGAACAACCTCAGGATTGGACTCATCGGCGGGCTGATCCAGTTGTAGACGAGCTAGGACCGACGCTGCCTCGTCGCTGCGATCTTGCTCACAGAGCCAGCGTGGAGAATCAGGCAGTGGAATCATCTGTAAAACCAAGCAGATGGCAAAGAAAGCCTGGAAACTAATTGGGAACCGCCACTGCACAGGCGTGTCCACGAAGCTCAGTCCATAGTCCAGCCAGTACGCGATGCACAGGCCGAGGATTGTCACGGTGCCTTGAGCAGAGAGCAACATGCCACGCTGCTCTGGACGCGCTAGTTCGGATTGGTAGGCTGGAACGGTACTGCTGTTAATTCCGTTACCAAGACCAGTGACGATTCGGCCAACGAGGAATTGAGGAACGGTATAGGAACTTCCGAGGATAATTGTTCCTATAATCATGATTGAGCCACCAGCAATAATCATCTTTCGGCGGCCAAATTTGTGGCCAATGACGAGACTGAGGAGACAGCCGACTGCACAGCCGATATCATAGATAGAAGTGAGAAGACCCTGCATAGTGCTATCTGGATTGTTGAATGTTTGTCCGAATTGATTGTTCGCGCCAATCAGGCCGCTCATAACGCCCTGGTCATATCCAAGGAGAAGAAACGCTTGACAGCTTGCAGCTGTCACAGCCCAGTGTAGGTATTTTCCGCGCAGGACCATCTTGTGCTTAGATCAATGGGGGAACTTGAAGGGACGCTGAGATCTGGGGCCCCAGGTCCTTTTCTCCATACATTCAACCATTTCAATCCCATGGTATTTCAGTTCACTCTTGCCCGAGAAGAATTGTTCGGTTTAATGCATCCCGGGGTCGTCATTTGCTTTACCCGCGGGACGAAACAGGACTGGCGCAGGGTCTTCCCCGCGGGGACTTCCCCACACCCCGACGAATCCGAATCCTTCGAATCTTTGTTCGGTTAGCCAAACAGGGATAACAGGGATAGAACAACGCTATTGACGCCCTATGATGAAATCCTAGGTTTCATCGCCCTGTCGATAAGTTCTAGCAGGTGATCTTACCCTGTCGGGCCAGCAACTTCTTGGCCTACGAACTACGACTGACTACAATACTACGAATAATGCTGGCGCATTTGAAAGCAAAATCCTTTTTTAAAAGAATGAATTGAAATGTATCTAAAGATCTAAGTACCGGTCTACGGCCTCAACCTGCCGGGAAATCCTACGACGGTCAGAATATAGAGACACGAGGTTATCCCTAAGCACAACCAAATGGCCCCCAAGCTTGTGAGTCTTCACTAGAAATGCACAATTATGCCCATAATAGCCACGTCTATCAAGCACGGTACGGCATCGCGGCATCTCCCTGAACATATCGGCACTAGCTCGTTCAACGACACGTATCTGGCGAATAAGGTCGGTGAGATTGTCAACAGCCAGTGCCAGGCGGAAGGGCGAAGTCCCATTGCGACTCGCAATGGCGTCAAGCTCGACCTGTATGCCAGCTACGAACTGATCGCGTGTGTGCAGAAACTGGGTTTCGGCGTTTCCTGCGGGGACCAGCATACTGACGAATGAGCACTGTATAATAAACCTAAGTGGAGGGTTAGAATTCTGTGAGGATAGCTAGGGGTGTCAAGAGAGATGTAGTTGATGCAGATGCTTCGAGTGATGTCTGATGACTCTTGAGAAGAGGGTGGGATCTAGTCTAGTCTATTTATGCAATTTCTTTAGAGTGAAACTCTGAGCATCGGAACCAAAAGAAAATAATATCATAGAAGGAACAATGCGAGTCACAAAGAGTTTACTTGTGTTCTTTGTCACTATTCATTCTTTGTGGATTGAACAGTAATAAAATTGATAAAGAATTAGGGATAAAGACTTTATCGCTGGAGCCGAGCCACTGAATGGGATTGTTTATGTCTTTGGTGTGCCATAATGCACTACATAGGTATATCGGAAACTTCGTATAGGGTTCGGATTTTTTATTTTTGCATGGATGCATGTAGAATCTCTCACTCTCCGCAGCACTCTAAGCAATGGTAGTAGCGACTAGGAAAATCAATGGTTGTTAAGCTTTTGTTCTTTGATGTCTCGAGGGTATAGCGACAAGCCCGAGGCATCGTTACAATCTTCGAGAGTAAGGCTCTAAAAGTGATTGTACCTATACAAAGAGCCAAATAATTACATAACTGAACATCGCTACTTAGGCATTGATCCTTTTTGAATAAACCTGCCTTGAATCTGCCTGAAATCTGCGTGAACCAATTAAAGAACCTCGACTGCGTCATCGAGGCTCAACGCATGCCGCTAACCCAAAATAGGCTTCATGTTGCGCCTCACATCAGCAACAACGATATAAAACATCCCTCGGACCTTGATTTGCAGCTATCTCTTTCAATCAAAGCTGCCTCATCCTGTTCCCATTCACCATCTAAAAATGACCTTGACCGATCGAATCCTTCATTCAATCTATGGACTCCCACCCCCGACCAGCGGTGTACGCAAAGAGCCAATGCAAGTGCTAGCCGTCGGGATCTCACGAAGCGGCACCGACAGTCTCCGCGAAGCATTGCATATTTTGGGATTTGACCATACCCATCATGGCTTTGACACCATCCTCCCCCCTTCATCTCTAGAAGGGATATACCGACTTTTGCAAAAGAAATACACCACAGCCCCAGAGAAGAACGAGGTGAAGAAATTGACAGCGAAAGACTTCGACTCAATTCTTCTAAATAGTGTGGGTGTCAGCGATTTATTCGCAGCAGAGTTCGCGCCCGAACTCATTGAAGCCTACCCGGACGCAAAAGTCATCCTCAATGTCCGCCAGGACCTTGACGGCTGGTACCGTAGCATGCAAAACACAATGGGATATTTTGATAAAAATCCTATTGATTGGGACTGGTGCAAATCTTGGTTCAGCGCAGATCTGTTCTGGATTCGCCAAACAATGTCAAGGAATATGATGCCGCGATTCTTTAGAGGAAGTTTCGAATCGAATGGGAAGTGGGTCTATGAGCAGCATGTTGCGATGGTTAGAGGTCTAGGTTTGCCGGAGGATCGACTTCTCGAATGGTCTGTTGAAGATGGCTGGGAGCCTCTTTGTCGGTTCCTGAACAAGCCAGTTCCTGATATTCCGTTTCCCAACGGTAATCCTCCAAAGGCATGGGCAGAACGAATTGGTAAGACAATGGCGGCTCATCATAAGCGAGCAGTAAGAAACATGCTTGTTTTTGGGGGTTTGGCTTTCGTGATTCCTGTTATTTTGTGCACATATTAGGTAGGAATCTTTTGATGGAAGCGGAGACTCCGCACGTAGTTTTCCAATTTTTACATGTTTCTCGGCTAGTTACAACCGAGTAAGATCTTTATTTAGTAAACATATTTGAAAAATCTAAGTAGTTCTACAGTCTTGGTTCACAGATCATCTAGTCATCTCGAAACTCATCCACCAAGTACTCGCGACCATATATATTCTATATCAAGAAAATAGACTTGATGCATATTCTAATAGATCGACTTTTACTTCCGCAGACATAGCCCTGATAGCTGCTGTGAAGTAAGGGATATCAACCCCCTTGAAAGAACAGCTTTCCCCACGAACCCCAATAGTCACAGTGCCAAAGTCATCGTTACCCGAAATGGCCTCTTGGATTAACGCTTCTTTGCTAACTGAACCGAGGACCACGGTGCTGGTGACACTCTTTTCCAGAAAGAGATAGGGGAAATCGACCCAACCCAAGTCTGAGCCACCTAAGGTGAGATTGAAAGTCACATGTCCCTGAGCGTGTCAGCCATACTTACATCCCAGGGCATGGGAGGAATTGACATACCAACTCAATAATGATGGGATTCGGATTGCGCACGGAGATTGTGGCATTGAAGTTATAACCATCAACTGGAGGAACCAGGAGTTCCATGCTGGTGATGTTGAATGCGCCCTTCATATTGAGGAAACCTGCTAATTTTAGAAAGAGTAACCCCGGGGTAATTTAGTATGTCATATGGTATATCTTACTTGTGATATTGAAACCTAATTTAACATTGTCAGCTTGTTTCATGGATATGTGGGAAAAAGGGCCCACTCACTATCCACCTTGATGGTTTTATGAATGTTCAAATGAGCAGTCGGTAGAGCACCATATTTCAAATCCGGTGAACCTTCAATCAAAAAGGAAGAGCTCTTGTTAGATGCAACAGCAGAAGCCAATTGCGACAGACAGTCGACACAAGACAAATCCAAATCTTGGTCTATTTCAAGGACGGCGCCGTTGCCAAATGCAATCCTCGGAACAGGGAGTACTGCAAAAGCTTCATTGGTGTCTTTGAGACGACATGTGGCATTGAATGGAGTTATATGACCACTACCACTAAACGCTCCTTTGATTTTGAGGCTTTTCTTTTGTTTGATATGGAAGGCAGTAGGCCGGGGGTTGGTAATCTCGAGGCCGTCGTAGTCGTAGTCGTACTTGTTGATATAGTCATTCGCGAAATTGGGAACCCCGACATAAAAGCTGAGGAAACAATTAGTATAAACAGAATAATCTTCTATGGCAAAGCTCACAGTGGGAGAATGATGACGAAGACAGATATGCAGAATGCGATTAAACAAGCCCACCAGAACTTCTTCATATGTGCCTTGAACCGGCTCCAAAAGGTTGCCTTTGCTGAGGCCGGTATTGCCTCATCCGCCTCCGAGTTACTGGAGATGTCAGATTTTGACATGATGGGCGGAACAATGTTGATATTAGTGCCAAAATATCTGCTTTCAGCCTAGGTCATGGATGATGAAACTCCGGTAGATGGCAGTATGACAACTGCTTTCCATGCTGTAGCGTGTGGAAGTAGAAAGAGATCGAGAAGAGATGAAAATGGGGCCCATAGGCAACAATTTCATAAACACAAACTAGTGGTCGCTTGGGGTTCTGGATATATTTGTCGATTAGACCCACCTTCACATGATAGATGTGCACAATTCAAAATAGAAAAAAAAACGTCTTTACGAGACCTCGGTTATTGATGTCATAATATTCTTTTAGGATCAACAAAGATCAATAAGGACTAACCTGGCAAGGTTTGGTTATACAAAATGAGGCTGAATGCCAAGAATCCTGGGCGGTCTTGGTACCTTCCAAGGAAAAGGGGTCAACGTGACTAATCAACAGGGTTCACCTGAGGTCGTACTCCATACTTCCAGGACCGAACACCCGATCATACGATGGTTGATAAATCCGCAGACCGTGCATGGAAAGGATCGGCAGAGAAAGGTGACCTCAATTGTGGATTACAGCTACCAAGTACGGAGTACAAGATTGTGCAAAAATGAACCTGCCGATTCATACAAGTTGTATGGTATTAAGACGCCTTCTTCTCAGTGATTACAGCTCATATAGCTTCTTGAATCTACTTTCAGACTGCGCCAATAGCTCTTGAGGCTTCCCCGACTCCACGACGCGCCCCTCATGGAGCACAACTACACGGTCGAAATCGACGATCGTGTTGAGACGATGCGCAACGGAGATTATAGTACAACCCTGGAATTCATCTCGGATGATGGCCTGCATAATCCTATCGGTTTGGATGTCGACACTGTTTCCATTGTTAGCTTCTGCAGTTTGGGGGACTAGAAACTACACAAGACTCACCTCGAAGACACCTCATCCAACACCACAACCTTACTCTTTCGTAGGAGACTCCTTGCCAGGCAAAACAGCTGTCGCTGACCATGACTTAAAAAGTCCCCAGCCATGATTGCACTCAGCCCGCCTTTCGATTCGACCACAGACCAGACCTGACATTTTTCCAAGACTCGGATCAAGATCTCGTCATCTTGGGTCGTCGCACCCCACGGGTCGAGGTTAAATCGCACGGTTTCGGAGGTAACCCAGTACGGCTCCTGGGTGATGATGTTGAGCCGCTGGCGTAATGTTTCCCGGGAAAGAAGAGTCAGGTCTAAGCCATCTATGGTTATGGAGCCCTGACGGAATTCCAGGAGGTGAAAGAGCGAGGCAAGGAGCGAGGATTTGCCACTACCGGTTCGGCCACAGATACCGATTTTCTCCCCAGGCTGGATCTGGAGAGAGACGTCTTGGAGGACGAGTGAAGAAGATTCACTGTATGAGGCTGCGAAGTTGTTGATATCGACTGCACCATGAGGAGGCCAAGTTGGTGCAGGAGAAACTGTCTCGAGGAGTTTGACTTCTGGCTCGATGTTGTCGATAAAACCGCGTACGCGTGCGAGAGAACCGAGGGAAGTCTCCGTCATGCTCCACAGTTGGACCAATTCGCAGAGGCTCTCATTGAAGCTCATGATATTCAGCAGGCCCAGGCCAACCAGGGCGGGAGGAACAGTGTCGCGAAGGGAGACGATTGTTGCAATCAAAAGTGTTCCGAGTCCGGCGACCAATAGATTCAGCACAAGTGCAAGCCAGATCTGGATTGCTTGTAGAAGATAAACGGGTCTCTGGCTATTGTCTAGTAGCTCAGAGTTTTTGGCGCAGAATTGCTCAGTCCAGCCCAAGGCTCGGATGCTGACGACGCCGGCGATGGTTTCTTGGAAGTGAGTGTACAGAGGCGCTTGTTGCTCCTGGCGCATCGCTCGGAGCTGGCGAGAGGTCTGAAGGTAGAATCTTTGGATGGCGATGAGGACAAGAACAAGCAATGGAATAATTGCTAGCAGGTACGATGCTGAAACCGCGATGAGACCAGCCCCGATCACAAAGATCGCTAACTGTATCATAGTGCCAATCAGCACTCCTGGTAGTTCATTGTCGATAACGCCGAGGTCGTTGCTAAACCAGTTCAGTACTGTGCCTGAATCAGTAGAGGTGAAAAACGACAAAGGGGCCAGCAATACGGTGTGCAAGAGCCGCTGGTGGAGGCCGTTCGATACTCGAGGGACGATGTAGAAGAACTGTCCCAAGACCAACAGAGTGAGTGAAACCAGGGAGATTACAGCTGCCAACCCTAGAGATCCCAAGAACCATGAGGTAGACACAATCGTTGAATGATCGACCGGACTGGCGAAATAGCTAAGAAGCAGCCCGGGAGCCTTGATTGCAGTGACGTAGATCAAACTCCAAAAAGCGGCGAGTCCTATCGAGAATCGGCCTGCTACAGCGAAATAATGTGTGATCGCCTTCCAATCCCCAATGTTCGACACTATGGACTTAGTCGAGATCTCATCTTCTTCCTCTTCATGCGTCATGTCAACCGCTGGGTGCTTTGCCGGTGTTTCTACGCTGCCAGACTGAGAGCCAGCCTCATCGGCATTACCGGAATCGTCCTTGAAGCGGACAGCGAGACCAGCCACGTATCCTCCGGTCTGTTGAACAAGAGTCTCATAAGTTCCTTGCTCGGCGATTTTCCCATCTTTCGACAGTACGACTACCCAGTCAGCATGTGGCAAGCGGGCAACGGCATGGGTGACAAGAACAACACTGGTGTTCTGAGAGCGGAGGGGGCCTGACTGGGAGAAGAGCCTGCGAACGATATTGTCCTCAGTGTCCGCATCCAAGCCGCTGAAAATATCATCCAGAATCAAGAGATCTTTCCGCGCAAAGACCGCCCGGGCTAGGGCAAGACGGAGTTTTTGGCCGCCACTGAGGGCAATTCCATTGGTTCCTACTATGGTTCGGTCTTTGTTTGGTAGGTTACTTAAATCTGCTGAAAGGCCACAGCAGTGAATTACCTCCCTATAGAAAGGCTCATTTTCAGATGAACTCCCACATATACCAGCCTTGATTGTTGAATTGATAGTCCATGGTGTTTGGTCCGCAAACCCAACCGAAGGGGTCGACAGCCAAACGGTCCCAGATGAGAAGGGAGTCTCACCAAGTATGCCTTTCAGCAGGGTGCTCTTACCACAACCTGTCGGGCCGATTACCATGACCAGGGAGCCCCGTTTGACGCGGAGATCAAGATTGTGAAGCACTGGGCTATCGTCCCCCCACCCAAAAGAGGAATTTCGAAGGACCAGGACATCGTCCGTTCTTTGACCCATCAAATTCTCATCGACCAGTCTGGGGGCCGACGATTGCAAAGTTCGACGCTCTTGTCGTGAAGGAGACAGAAGAAATTCCTGTATCCGACTGAAGCATCCGAGAGAGCCCACTAGCTCAGGAAGTGCTCGGACTAGCATCATCAGCGGTGGCTCCAAGAGCTGAAGAATTGAGAGGATAGCAAACGCGGTGGGAATGTCCAATCGCTGCCCCGTGTACCGTTCCTGGAAAATGTAGATCGCAAATGTGGAGACCGGCGCAGCGATGCTAGTGACATTTTGAAAGACCACTTGAACAAGAACCACCCAACGGATCTTACGTGCGACTTGGTTTTCCTGCACCCGCAAGCGCTGCACCAGACCTCCAACAACGGAAGATAGTCCGAGAAGCTTGATGTTCCTGATTGCGCCCAGCATGTCTGCAGTAGAAGAGGTACGAGTTTGAATGGCTTCGAGCCATATGTCCAGATATTTGGGAAATAACCGTGTGCAGACGGCTATGGCGACGACCGCACAGCTGAAGAAAAACCCAGGGGCAACAAAGCCAGGGCCTAGTTGAGTGTAAAGAAGGTATAAAGCGACCACAACCTCAATAAATGCTGCAGAGGTCTCATGCAAGGTGCCGAAAGCTGTCGTGATCCGCTCAACATCGGCGGAAATAAGGGTTAACGCAGCCTTCTCTTCCAGTTCGGTGATACTCAAATTCACAGTTTTTTGATAGATCAAGGATATCAGTCCGCCTCGAATGCTGACAATGAATCGGTTTATCTGATGTTTTGAGGCTGCACCAAGGACCGCGATACTGAGATATACAAGAGCATATGTACTGACCAGGCGCCAACCAAAACCATCCTGATGACCGGTCGGGTTGTTCACGAAATTAGTGGTATCCCGAATCAATTGTGGCTGGAGGAACTTGACACCGATCAACAGCAGCTGTGGTAAACCTGAGGCCAGGATTTGCCATTTCAGGGTTGATAGAACCACTCGCAAAAGTCGGTTTGCACCCGCATTCCGTTTTCGCTTCCATTCTCCCCGGAACTGGGCTTCGAGCTTCTGGGATGACAAGGCTGAATCTAGAGAATAAAGATCCCCGGGTGTGAGTGTGTTGAAAAAGCCGCGCCATAGCAGAGGGTTAATCCACCAGAGAAAGATCTTGCTATATGGGCCGCTAGTATCCGCAGGACTGAGATCACGGTAGCTAGCGAGCAAAAGGTGTCGTTTGGGCAGGGCTTCACTGACAAGCGCAATTAATTTTACCACAACAAGGATGATGGAAATTGTTGGAATGGGGTCTATCGTTGTCTCCAAGGCCAAGGCGCTTGATGGTTTGTCGAGAGATAGCAGCGCTCTGATCTGAGAGATGTCCAGAGGAAGGGTGACCGCAAAATAGAGGGCAATGAGATCTGAAGGCGCCACTGATCGATCATGCTCAAAGGCTGACAGAACCAGCAGAGCAATGCTAGCCACCAATTCGGAACCTGCGACCGGGGCGGCAATACTCGAGGGCTTCAATGTCCATAGAATCAAAACAGACAGGCGCAAAGTGACAAAAATGATAAGCACGAAGAGCTTCGATCTTCGTAACCCGGATGGGTTGACTTTGATAGATTGGTACTTGAGGTGGGCCACCCGAGCGCTGGCTGCGGCCAAGAAAAGACCTGCTGCTCCAGCCTGGGCCACAGACTGGCCCCATGGCCAGTCAAGAGATGAAATACGATTGAACATATATATATATAAAAGTCTGGTTTCTATAAATTTGACTTGAAAATAAACTGAATGCGGCGCAACAAGATGTTCGGGGATGTTCCCCCTTTTAAGAAAGAGATGAGGCTCGGGCAGGTACATTTCATAACTACTGACTCCCTAGGCCCTAAACAAAAACCTTGTCTAGTGGGAACTTTACAGCGCATTTTCCCACTACAGAAGCGGCTCCAGGCAGTCGAAATTACGCAACTAAGCACGCAATGATAGCTTGTGTGTTATAGCTACTGAGATGCCTAGGATTAGGCCACTAGCATGAAAATCAGGATGCCTACTTTGTATATACTAGACAAAGTGGATGTGACGCTGCTCAGCGATTACAATCTCACTAGTTCCGACGGTGCCCCGGTGCAACCTCCTTTTGTTGCCGTACTTATCAGGTCCACGTTCCAAGGCTACCTAAATACCTGACAGAAATCAAGGTGTACAGCAATGTATGGTATGGATGACAGATATGTCTGACTCTAACTATGTAACTAGAATGACAAAAATTCACCATTTCACAATCTGTGTAGATATTAATGACTACTCCTAATATGCACTTTTCGCAGCCGTAGCAGTGTATGTATTTTCCGAGGGTTTTGACTCGATTCTCAACGATATATTGTAACATAGCTTTCGAAAAAAAATAATATAACTATTTAGACTAGTCTGCTCCGACGTCGTGGTCACAACTCACAAGTGTTACCGACGGCCACAGACATCAGACAACATCGGGTTTGCTTCCAGTGTCTGTTAGCTGGGCGCGGTCACGGGAAGGTCCTCCGGGTAGGGCGGTGCCAGGGTGCCACCCGAGAGCTCGTCAGGAATGACGGCCTCTGTTCTTAACAGCGTTACTTGTCAACGGGATCGCTGGAGTATACGGCTTCACAGGGAATATTGGTGCTGTAAAAGTAGTGTGTAGATTGTTTATCTAGGCTATCTGGTAGTAAATGGTGATAGATTACCTATGACCGCCTTCCTGCCAGAATTAGCAGGCTTATGGCCATATGTAACACAGAAGCTCATATTCATCGACTTTACGGCTTGCGCGTGCTGCCATACGTTCAAGTTGTAGACTCTATATCAACGCCTGCAGACGGCCATAGCTATCTACAATGAAATAGTCATCATTGATGCTGACTACGACTGAGAATGTACTGCTGTCGCTCTGATCCCCACGTTGGCAACACTATCGATAACGGTGCGGGTTGCTTTTCTCCTCCTTGCCAAACGTCTGGATCGAGAGTGCGAATTTTAGCGCAATGTGGCAGTCGGAGTCCGTTATCCTCTGGAATCCCTTCCTCTTCCAGTCTCTCAATAGCGCGAAGCTGCTTAGGATTCGCTGTTTGACGAAGCAGAGTCCAAAATTCTGCATCGGACACTTGCCATAACACCTTATCATCCACAGACCCTGCCTCTACCAGTTCGCCTATCACCCAGCCCGTCCGCTGATATATATCCATATGGGCCGGACTTGACCAGACATCTTTATCGGTAGTAATGTATGCGCGAGAAAGAATCAGCGCTAAATAGGGATCGTCCAGAACCAGCAGACGGCGGGTCGCTGTAGCACTAGGAAACGCCTTCAGTGAGCCGACAACCCTTCTGGCATCTTCCATGGCAAGCTTGCCGAAGCTAACGGCGTCGCGTAGAGCATAGTCTAACCGATCGGCACACAGTTGAGGCGATGGCATCTCTACCAAAGGGAACAGTTCTTCTTCGAAAACCTTCTGGTTGATCCCATGTCTAGCGAGGATATCCGGTAGCCGCGTCATCTCAAGATACCGCGTCTTATGTACCTCGTGATAGCTTCCTTCCCCAGGCTTAGAGAGGGCGTAATCCATGACGTGACTTAGGGTGGTATGAGAGATATCATGGAGAAGAGCAGCGACTTGTTCTTCAATCGTGGCACCAACTCTTCGCACGAGTATAAATGCACCGACCGAATGTTCAAGCCGTGTGACTCGCGGTGCCAGGCCCAGGAATCCAGTGACTCCATACTGGCAGATGCCTTGCAGTCGCTGCACCTCCGGGCTTTGAAGCAGCTCTACGAGAACTGGCTCATGGACCAGTTCCTCTCCGTATATTTCATCTCGGATCAAGATGCTATGATTCTCGATGAGTTGGTGTGTCTGGAGGACCCCGGCACAGGTGGGAGATAGCATTTCTGTTGGACCAAGATGTATTGTGTCAAAAGCCATGTTACAATACATGGCTGGAAACCAAGTCAAAACCCTCGGAAAATATATAGACCGCTTCAGATACGGCCCCGGTACCATGAGCTCAGTCATTGATTGATGTCCGTATATATTGTCAATTAGTTGATTTTTGTCACCTTGATTTTCTGTTAGTGTATATTATTCCCGTCTATAAACAGAACCTCCCACAAAATTGACAGCAAACCATACGACATTTGCCTTTATTCTTCCCATCTTGAAAATCAAAGGGGAGACAGAAATAAAGAATCAGGAGATCCGCAGCAATAAAGAATAAGCGATATAAGCATTGATCGTGCGTCCATCGTGGCTACCTAGTTTTGATGGTCCCGTTGAGACGGGAAGGTACCATGTCTTGCCTACGAACCGACAGCCCTTAGAGCTACACTTATTCCGACATAACAAGATGGTAGGCGGAAGCATTCACGATAGACTAGTACGCGCGGCCAGGGCTGAGGCTCAGGCCCTACCGGTGAATCTGCGGGGTCGGCTCCCCCCCCCAACCGCGCCGGTGCAAGCTGTAAGCATCCTTATCTTGCATTTGAAAGCAACATAACTGACATGCAGCGTAAAAGGGTACGATCAAAGCACCCTGAATTTCACACAGGCAGAAACCCCACCGGCGCAGAGCCTCATGTCTCTCTCGCGGTTGAGGAAACCGAAAATATGCCCCCCCCCGGTATGTCAGAGGGTCAATCCTGTATTTCTAGGAGAGTTACACTGACGAAAGTGAAACAGTCCCCAACCCCAGGAGCTCCTCCTCTTCAGCCTCCTCTTTCGGGCCCACCAGCGCAAACAACAAGAGCAACTCATATTTTGTGGTTCACGGATTTGTGGTGGTTCTTCTCTAGTGGAGCTGAGCCCATCATATCTGTCGGTTGAATGAGCTGGCCCTGTAAGCCGTGATAACCCCTTTTTTTCACCTTTTAACGTATAGGCCTCATTCAAGGGTTTAGAACGCTTAGTGAGGGCGAAATATACACAGTACTACCTATGAACACAGGCTGGATAGCCTTGCAGCCTTGACATGTTCCAAGGTTGTATCTGAAGGGTCCACTGGGACACCGGCCCGGCCCGGGAGAAAGCTCTTCGGGTCCACTGGTGTTCTCGAAAGTTCTTCCTTGGAGAGTTAAGAGACAACAGATTCACGACTATTAACTTCTTTAGTGAAGAGCCGGTCTATCACTATTTATTCAGCGTAAAAACGATACCTAATTAGGAATTTGGTACAAAGTTCACGAGTACGAGGAAAGGTCAAAAATAGACTGAACGGGGCACACTAACTGGAAAGGGTATAGAGCGCGTTGTCCTTTCAGGGTCAGAGTTCCGGGGTTATCCATGGGCTTATTTCAGTTCCTTTTCACAAGGTCTTTGGTTTCTCCAATTTGTGAAATTAATGCTTTTGCTGTGAGAGGAATCAAGTGGTTCCCCACTGTTGCCCACATCATGCTCCCACAGCACTCAATTCCACCCAAAGAAGGCCGATTTGCTCCGTCACATCCGAGGCCTAGCGTCAAAACACGACGAAAACGCATGCTTTTGCGGATCACGCGCCTCACTTTTGCGGTAGTAGCTGGGTGGTTGGTGATATCATTTCTACTTGGCTCACCAGCTTCAGACGCAAATAATCTGCGATCGACTTCCAGCTTGGTCACGGACAAAAATTTGCAATTCCAGCCCACTGATATCAGGACAGTGGAATTACCGGCACATGATTCGACCTCGCAAGGGACGCCTGATGAAAAACCTATTGTGAAAAATCCAATAGGATTGCAGGAAAATATAGACTCTGCAACAAGGAAAGACCAAGAATCACTGAAGCCACTCGAAAATAATGTCGAAAATACCAAAAAGAACACGAATTCAAAGAACTTGGAGTCTGAATTCTTTGGCGATGCTCTTGATTCCCTTTTATCGACAATTTCCAACGACCTCTATCTTCGAGAGCTCATTCAGCCAGTAATCGGCACAGGCGAGGAGAAGCTGCACGAGCTTGCCCTACGCACACGTGCATATAAAAAGCTGTTTGAGGCTTGGGAGAATGTCCACCTCGTCAGCAACGATGACCATACTTACGTACGGGACGATATTTTCCCCCAAATCCGCGACAGGTTCAGCGGGTCAACATTCCCTGAGGCGCTGCACAAATATGAAGCTTACCGCCACTTTATCACCGAGTTTTCCGCACTGTTGTTTCCATGGACGAGCCCATACTTTGCAGATCACATGAGTTTGCACGTTTCGACGCGCCATGGAGGCCGCGGTATCGTGACAACGGCGGGCAATAACCACGCCCCTTTTTTACTGGCTGCAATTCCTTCATTTCGCCTCCTGGGCTGCGATCTTCCCGTCGAGGTAATGTATCTCGGCGAGAACGATTTAAGTGAAGATTTCCGCAAGAAGCTTGATGCACTGCCAGGCGTCACAACGCGTGACCTTTCCGCAATGGTGAGCGACGAAGGTTGGCGACTTAACGGATGGGCTGGTAAGCCCTTTTCTATACTCCTCTCTTCTTTCCGGGAAGTTGTATTCATCGACGCCGACTCACTGTTCTTTGTCAACCCCGAGTTGCTATTTGATGACCCGGATTATGTGCGCACTGGCGCTCTTTTCTTCAGAGATAGAAATATCCTGCCGGAGAGTAAGAAGGAATGGCTACAGAAAATCTTGCCGAAGCCGATTTCGCAATCTGTGCAGCAAAGCAGAATGTGGACTGGGGAGAGCGGGCATGTACAAGAGTCGGGAGTTGTTGTTGTGGATAAGTGGAAGCACTTTGTTGCATTGTTGCTTGTATGCAGAATGAATGGGCCAGATAGGAATAAGAACGGCGTGGACACTGTAGGAACTTATGATATGGTCTATGGTTCGTTATTTCCCAGTGTATATCCCCCAAAACCTCTTGTTTATCTACTGATCCGTGAAACTACATAGGTGATAAGGAAACCTTTTGGATTGGATGGGAGCTCGCTGGTGACACTTCCTATGCCTTCCACCAGGGCGGATCTGGAGTCATGGGCGTAGTGCAAACCCCTGACAACTTGAACTCCACTGACGAAGGCCTTGCATCGACCGTTGGTACAGAGACTGAACCGGTCCCAACGAAAAAAGTGCGCAAAATGGCACCTGGCCATGAATCTGACCTAACCATATGTGCCCCCCAACTTCTTCATTTGGACCGCGACAAGCGCCCTCTGTGGTTCAATGACTGGCTGTATGAGAATAAATATGCGGGGAGTAAGCGAGTTCTAGGAAATTTCGAGATGTTTATGGAGGAGCCGGGTGAATCGTTGGATCGAGCACCGTGGCAACTGGAGGAGAGTAATCTCTGTTGCTTGTCAAATTCTGTGGCAAAGGACTTCACAAAGCAGGAGGCCGAATGGCTGGGGGTGCTGATTGACATGGCAAGGACAGTTGAGAGCTAGAGGAAGAATATAAATACCCTTGAAAGTCCCCAAGACACAGCAAAAGATCTTTCCTTCTTCCTTCTTTCTCCTACCACGTCCCCCCACAACCATTCTTCCAAGAGGACTTTTCACCTGATTTCCCAAGGGTCTTCTCAAGCCTCTTTTCAAGCCTCTTTTGTGTTGCCTTTTTTCCACCATGGCCGAAACCTCTGCCGATGCGCCCCCCCCCCCTCCTCCTCCTCCTCCTCCTCCACTACCCCCCAAAAATAATAAGCAGAAGAAAAGAGAATGGTGGCCTGCCATTAAAAAGGAAAAGCGAGAGCGCAAGAACGCGCGTCGTGCCCGCATTGAGGCCATTTTCAATGCTTTGTTGAACCACTACCATGAAATGGTAAGAGTTTTTAATTCATCCCACGGTCTTCCTCATGAGCTTCAAGCTAATATTATCTCTAGGGTGGTTCTCATCCCGACGCCATTCATGTTCTGAGTGAACTGGCCAAGGTTCGTATCCTAAATGGAATATGTATTATATTGGAAATCTACTCAGTTTAACACATGTGTTTACAGTCACTTGAGGAGGAGCGACATCCCCACATGCATGTGAAGAAGGGATAGGGGTACATAGATAGGGTGAAGAGAGGAGATTGTCGCATCGTTACGGTTTGTTGTTTTCTCCCCTTTCATATCAATATCTTAATCAACACGGGATTGATTCTTTCAAAAGCGTGCAAAACGTCTTCTAGTAGGAACAGTATTCAAATCATGCTTTGCTAATACAACAAACTGAGAAATTTATTCCGGTAACAAAGCCGACCGAAGGGAGAATGAGCCACTTCGATCCTGCAATGTGATGGAATTTACCCAGGAGGTAATTGATCTTTGGTTCTGCCATAGTTGTACAGTCGACAGATATTGAGTCTGAAGCTTGCACAGACAGCCCATTTGCACATACTGTAAGTTGAGGTTCAGTGATGTGAAAACTCACACACGCAAGTCCCACAAATCTCGCCCAGCTGCTGCCTGGGATACCAGTAGAAGAGATCTTCTACGGACTATTGCCTCTAAGGTGTGTTGCTCCGTCATGCAAGATCCGTCGATGACAAAAACCCGGACAGCAGCGAGCTCGTGGTTCTCGCGGTGATCAAAGGGGTGAGAGAAAAGAGAGAAGAAGGAAAGAAGAAGAGAAGAAGAGAGATGGGGGATTTTATAGAGTCTATGCAGCCAATCACATGTCATATTGAGCACCTGCTTCCATTTCCCAATTAGGCTTAGTAGCTCTGTAGTTTCTTTGTTCTCTTGAAAAGTGGGGCCGTCACTTCCAAATTAGGACTAGTGGAAATTTCTTTGTTTTCTTTGTTTTCTTTGTTTGCCCATTACTGCCTACCTATGTTGTAGGTACCTAGGTGTAGGTATGAGTCCTTAGTCCACCGTTTAGACCCTTGGAATTAAAATGAACAGAAAGTGACAGAATGTAAGTTCACTTTGGCGGTTTTATATGAGATCCAGGCAAGCAAAACTAGACAGGACGAGTCCTAATTCCTGGTCATTGATTTGCATTCAGTAGCTTATGTACAGCTCGATCAGCTGGAGTGAAGTCCTTTTTGTCGAAGTCAACCTTGCAGGCCTTGCTGATATCGTTGATCTGAGATTGAGTGAATTCAAGGATCCTCCACTTGACCAATGGTGTTATAGAATAGTTTAATATAAGACATGCGGCCTACGAACTACGACGATACATTCACATGGATCACAAGCCAAACACCAGAGACAACATCTGGGAATTATTGATTTCAAGTATGCAGGTAATATAATAATTTTATGAGGCAAAAGACGAAATGTTCAAGAAAATCCAGGGCCGAAAGGAAATCGCTGCGCAAAGCTCTCATCCATGCATAAGTTCGCTTGTAAAAAGAAGACAAATCAAGACACGAAAAGAATTAATAACACATATCCACATCTTACAATGGCCACACACAGAAAATGGAATGGTGTAAAAAAGATGGATCGTTCAAAGAACTCCCGATAGAACGGCTTCGGTGGCTGCATATCTGTTAGCTGTGTACGTTAAGATACCGACTGAGTTATCACTTACCAGAATTGATGTACGGACGCTTGGCGTCCAGGTTGACATCGAACCGCCTTTCAAGCTCCTGCTTGACGGTCTTCTTCGAGACCTTCATCAAGTCTGCAGTTGCCAAGATCTTACGGATCTCTTCGAGAATCTCATCATCAGGAGGGAGATGGCTGAGGTCTTCCATACCAAAGTTGCTCATCATTTCAGACGGGGCGACTGAGTAACGAGCACCACCGCTTCCAAGAGGCAAGTCGAGTTGCGAGACCGGGCGCGAGTTGGTATGGTTGGTATGGTACCCATACTCTGACTGCGGGAAGGGAGGCAGTCTGGTGCCGTAGGAGTGTGCAGAGAATTCAGATCGGTCGTCGCGCGAAGTTTGCGATTCCCATAGCTCGGCTTGATAGTCCTCCCAGATCTTCTTGGGGATGGAGTCGGGGTCGAATTTGCCTTCGTCGGAAATGACAACCTTGCGGCCTTTCTCTCCGGTGATGACACGGGTATTACCCCAGGAGAAGTCGTCCATGTTCCAGAAGGAGTAGAGTGGCAGAGCAAGGGAGAAAATGGGAATGGCTAGGAGGTAGATCAACATCCAGCCAATCATTTCCCACCTGCGCCTAACGAGGAAGATCAAGGCCTGTAGACCGTAGATGACACCAAGAAGGATAAAAGAAGTGATGGGCAGCACGTCTGGCTGAGACACACACCAATAGATCAGGTAAGCGATATAGGCAACTGTGACTGGTTGAATGACGGTCATGAGCAGATCGATGAGCACAATGAATCGCATACTGAAACAGCAGAAACCACACAGTTGTTGCAGCGGAATCAACTCCATCAAGTTGTGCACTGTGGAATTGATCCATCGGCGACGCTGGGAAAGGAAGACAGCAAAGCTTTCCGGTGCAACTGTCCAAGCATGACAACGGAAGATGTACTTTGTCTTGAACTTCGGGTGGAACTTGATAAGCAGTGTCGTCAAGTAGCGATCTTCACCGAGGTGCAGCAGATTCTTCATGTGGAGGGTATCGACACGAATTTCCGAGTAGGCGTCAACTACGGCCTTACTAACAAAGAGAGGCGTCCCGTTCTCCGCTGTGCGGACACGATACATAGTGAAACAACCGGGCAAGCAAGTAACAGATCCAAACAAACTTTCAAATGCCTTCGTCAGGTTGTGAGAGATGTAGTATTCATAAACCTGGATCATTGTCACGATGGAGGTCTTGGCGTTTGACAAAGACGTCTCTCCACAGGCGCCAATAAGACGCGTATCGGACAGGAATGCCGACACAAAGCGTGTGGCGGCATCGGGCGCCACCATGGTATCAGCATCGACCTGTAGAATATACTCGTAGAATTGTGGATTGACACCAATGATGTTCCTGATGTGATGATGCATCTCAAGCTCCATGGGGCTCATGGGCAGGTTGTAGTGAACACGGTTGAGGAAGCGCATGAGAACCATCTGGGAATCACGTTTTCCGCGGTTACCAGGACGGGACACTTCAGAAGGCTTGCCGACTTTCACAACGACCAGGAAAGGAACGATGTGGCCCTGGACTTCGTACAGACCAGAATAGAGCTTGGCCATGTTATGCTGCTTCATACCCTCGCCCAGACTCTCGAAGCTGAGTGGTTCAGGATCAACAGATTCGGGGACACCCAAAATGTCAAGGACGATGCGGGGAGTCGGGCGATCGTTGCCCTGTCCAATAATCATACCATCACAAATAACGAGCAGCAGCTTGCGTTTGTCGTCATAGCGCATGCGAGCCATAGAGTCCATCGCACGACGCAATGACTCCTCGTCCTCGGTATACACTGGGACTTGGCAAATAATGAACTTGTCTAGATTCTCCGGAAGGTTCTTCCTTCCGAATTGCAAAGCAGCTAAAAACTTGAAGCCAATGATGGAAACAAGCATGATGGAAATTGCGAGAATGAAGTATCGCGCAAACTGACAGCGAACTGAGTCTCGAGTGTCGATCTTGCCGATGAAGAACAGGTTGTCAAGGCAAAGTTGCATTCGGGACCTAAGTGCCGTGCTGTAATTCAGGTCCTCCCAATATTTGGTCACATCATCTCCGGCCTTTCCTTGGAAGATATCGACGAGCAGAGGCTCCATGTAATTGGTATCAACAGTGCCAGTCGCGTTCTTCCCGGCTGGCCGGCGAGGTACTCGGGGTCCAGCAATGTAATAGGTCAAGTCATAAATTTTACCGTGGATACTTGCAACCTTCATAGATTTGTCGGTTGCCAGCTTTTTCATTGCCTTGGAAGTATAGCCAAGGTAGCCTTTCTTGTAATTCGAGCGCATCATAACCATTTGCTCATAGAACCAATCAGCTCGGGAGTCATTAGTCCAGTAGCGGAAATCGTGGTACTTGGCATTGATATCGAAGGTGGTGCTGGACGCTGTGGCTGCGGAATCATTCAAATTTGATCGATAGTCCAATGGTACACTGGGATCCACATTCCCATTGACACCCTGACATAAAGCCGAGACCTGAACAGGGAACAGATTGGTTGCGTCAGTGCCTGCGTAGGCCTTGAGTGACTTCTGGGGAACGATAGAAGGGAAGTGGGAGGGCATGAAACTTCCAAGGTTGAAAACTACGCCTCGGATAGCAACATAAGAGTCTGCTGTACCCGCACCATTCTTACCGCTGAGCTCTGCCGTGTTATAAACAGCCTGGGTTGGACAAACCACCCCAGGGAACCCAACAATCATGAAAACTGCTACACCACAGGAGAACCAAATGATCATGTTGATAGCCAGCTTTTCGCGCCAGGCAATCCGCACATCCTTGCGCTTCATTCGCCCAACGAACCTAATCACGAAATCGGGGATGAAGAATGTAAGGAGATAGACAAGGAACATCCAACGACGACGACCTGGGGAGGTCGGAGCCTCGTCGACTTCCTCCATCTTCTTTTCGTTGTTTTTCTCAAGCATTTGCTCTTTAGTGTCAAGATTTTTGAACATATCACCGGAGTTGAAGGCAGAACCTCCGGCATCCGAGCGTCCATCCAGTTCGCGGCTACCAAAGTAGCCTTGTTTGGGATCATTTCCATAAATGAAAGCACCTGGAGACGGGTCGGTGGGGTGAAGAAGTCGGAGTTTGGAGTCCGGGTTTCCACCGGCGGTCTGGAAGCCATCGCCTTCATCAGCACCAGCATTTCCATAGGATGGTACCACGCGCTCGCCCACTTTGGCGATATCTGCCCAGCATCGCTCGCTCAAGAAGACACCGGTGCTACCGACACGAGCTTCGTTGCCAGGCCAGCGCTTTTCGTCGAGAACAACCTCGGACTTTTCGCGGTCGCTTCCCACCACAACATTGCCGATATCAGCGAGGCCAAGGAACTCTCCGAACGGTAGGAAGACACTGTAATCGGCGTTGCGAAGCCGTGAGCTGATTTCGGCGATGCCGAACGTTTGGACCTGCATCCGCACACACTTGCTGTCGAACTGGTTGGCAATGCGACGATCATTGGGCTTGAGACAGATGACGAAATAGGGATTGAGGTTCGAGGAGCT